GCGCGCGCCTCCCCCCCCCCGTCGCTCGCTCGCCGTCGCGATGGCGCTCGCGCCGACGTCGAGCCTGCGAACGCCGCTGACGCCGGTGCGCGCGCGCGCGAGACGTCGCCTCCCGACCGCGTCGCGTCGTCGTCCCCGTCCCCGTCCCCGTCCCCGTCCCCGTCCCCGTCCCCGCGTCGTCCCCGCGATCGAGCGATCGTCCTGTCCGTCTCTCGTCGTCGTTCGCTCGCTCGCTCGTTCGCGTTCCCTGGGAAACACCAAACGTCGCGCGCGGCGTCGCCACGTCTGACGCGCCCCCTCCAACCCCCCCCCCCCCGCCGCGCGCGCCCGCAGAGCTCGCGCGCCCTGGAAGCGAACGCCCCGGGGACCGCGTTCGCGTCCGTGGCGACGCTGACGGCGTACCTCCGCGTCGACGCGGACGCGTGCGACGTGGAGTCGTCGTCGGATCTGTCGGATGCCTCGGGAGAGGTAACGCACGCGGAGGAGAAGGAGGAGGAGGACGACGACGACGACGACGACGACGACGACGGCGGCGGCGGCGGCGGCGGCGACGCGACGCGCGCGACCGACCCGCGCATGAGCAGCGCGCGCGACGTTCACGCGGAACTCCGCGCGGAGGCGAGCCTCGCGGACTGGGCGAGAGAGGACGGCGACGGCGACGACGACGACGACGACGACGACGGCGACGACGACGGCGAGACGAACGCGACGTGCGCGACGTGCGCGACGTGCGCGACGAACGCCGACGACGACGCGTTCGACGACGCCAAGTCCCCGCCGCCGCTCCCGCCGTCGTCGCGCCGTCGCCGTCAAGCGTCGCTCGTCGTCCTAGCCGCGTCGAAGCGCGCGGACGACGAGCAGACGCGCCTGCTGCGCGAGCTCAGGCGCGTCCCATACCGACACTGGTCCTCATACGAACTGTCTGGTTTCTTAAGGACTACGTTCTCTCCCGGCGTCTCTCTCCGCCCGCCCCTCGCTTTCAACGCCCGGCCTCGACGCCTTCCAACTCCATCTGACGACTTTGAACTTCACCCCGACATATCATACGTCGCTTCGCGTGGACCCAAAACTCTCAGAGACGACGCGGAGGCGAACGCGACCGCGACGCGCGCCGTCGCGTCCGAGCTCTCGTCGCGACTCGAAAACGCGGAGCGACGCGCGCTCGACCTCGTCGACGCCGCCGCCGCTTCGCGACGCGAAACGACGCGCGAGACGTCGCGCGCGGACGCCGCGGAGCGCGCGCTCGAGGACGCGAATACGGCGCTCGAGGACGCGAATACGGCGCACGAGAACGAGATGCGCGTCGCGCGGTCGGAGAGCGCGGAGAGCGCGGAGGAGGACGCGTCGGCGGCGCGCGCGGAGACGGCGCGCGTCGCCGCGCTCGCGAAGGAGAAGATGAAACGTCGCGAAGACGAAGCGTCGCAGGCGCTCGACGCGCTGCGCGCGAAGAACGCCGCCGCGCTCGAGGACGCGGCGAAGCGCGGCGCGAGGGCGCGCGACGACGCGGAGCGCCTTCGAACTTCGGACGACGCGGAGAGGACGCGGGAGAGGACGCGATCGCTCGCGGATTCGTCCGCGGCGCTCGACGCGTCCGCGGCGCTGTGCGCGAAAGTAACGGCGGAGAGGGATGCGTTGAGGGAGGTCGCGACCGCGTGTGAGGCGACGATCGCGACGCTGCGGTTGGAGATGATCGCGCGCGACGCGGCGATCGAGGCGGCGGAGGGGCGCGCTGCGGCGTCGGCGGACGCGACGACGCGACTGAGGCGCGTATTCCATTCCTCACACTGGTTCCCATACGACCGCGTCGGCGTGGTGGACGCCGTTCCTGAAGGAGTTTTGCCGTCCTCTTTCTCCCCCCACCCCTGGCTTTCAATCCCGACTCACCTCGACGCCTTTCAACTCCGCCATCTGACGCCTTTCAACTCCACCCCGACGTTCGCTCGTACAGAACGACCCTGAGAGCCTCGGAGGCGTCGCTCGAGACGCTCCGCTCCGACACGCGCGACGCGGAGGCGCGAACGACGCGCGAGATCGAGAGCTTGAAGGCCAAAGTCGTCGCCGTCACCGCGGATAAGATGGCGCTGGCGCGGGATCTGGAGCAGGCGAAGCGAGAGACGCAGTCGGCGGAGGCGCGCGCGAGGAAGCTCTCCGGATTCGTCGACGGCCACGCGCTCGCGCGGCGGCAGCATTCGAAAGTCCACGACGACGCCGTGGACGCCGCCGCGAAGGAGCGCGTCGCCGGGGAGGTCGCAGCGCGGCGCGCGGTGCGCGCGGAGAGCGAGCGCGACGACGCGCGCGCGCGATCGGCCGCATCGGAGCGCGTCGTCGAGGCGCTGACGACGACGATCGCGACGGCTGAAAAGGCGTCGGCGGCGAAGACGCGGGAACTCGAGTCGACGCGCGCGGAGCTCGAGTCGACGCGGACGCGCGCGGAGGCGACGTCGACGACGCTCGCGGCGTCGACGCGCGAGGCGCGCGACGCGCGCGAGGCTCTGACGCGCGCGACGCGGACGCTCGAGGCGTCGAGAGCGACGCGCGATGAGATCGCGCGCGAGCTTCGCGAGTGTCGGAAAAAGTCGGACGAAGCGTCCGACGCGCGCGACCGGCTTTCCGCGACGCTCGCGGCGACGTCGGAGGACCTGCGCGTCGCGCTCGAGGCGCGCGACGCGTCGCGCGCGTCGCTGACGATCGCGCGCGCGGACGCCGAGCGGCACGAGGCGCGATGCCTCGAGCTCGACGCCGCGGTCGCGGCGGCGGCGGCGGCGGCGGCGGCGCGAAAAGACGACGACGAGAGTGCGCGCGCGGCGGCGACGACGCGCGTTTCGGAGCTCTCCGACGCGCTCGCGCTTTCGCGCGAGGAGATCGCGCGCGTCGGGCGCGCGCTCGACGCGTCGACGCGCGAGGCGGCGCGCGCTTCAACACGCGCGGCGACGTCGGCGCGCGATTCCGTCGCCGCGCGCGCGGACGCCGCGAGCGCGCGCGACGCGCGCGACGCGCTCGTGAAGCGCGTCAACGCGCTCGAGGCGACGCTCGCGGACGCCGTGAGCGCGCGCGACGCGGCGCGCGCGACGCTCCGCGCGACGCGCGACGACGCTGCACGCGCGACGACGCTGCGCGAGCGCTTCTTCCGCGAGCTCGACGCGCGCGCGCGACGCGCGGAGGCGGAGGTGATACGCCTGTGTCGGAAGCACGACGACGCGAGCCGGCTGGCGTTCGGAAATCGCGCCGCCGTCGATCGGTCCGCGGACCGGGCCGGGGAGCTTGAAGCGGAAGACGAGGAGGTCTTCCAGGAGTGCGACGACGACGCGCGATGATCTCGTATGTAGCCCTGCAACTACAAGTACACACTAACGTCCGCGCCTCGAGGGTCACGCCGCACACCGCGCCGCGCCGCGCCGCGCCGCGTCCACTCGCGCGACAGGATGACGACGACTCCGACGACGACGGCGTGCGGCTGCTCGAGGCCCGCGCGCTGGGCGCTCCTCCTCCTCGCCGTCGCCCTTCTCGTCGTCGTCGTGTACTACGAGCCGAACGAGCGCGACTACCTCTTCTGCGGCCGTCGGTGTCGCGAGCGAAGAAGGCGAGACGACGACGACGCGACGACGACGACGACGACCGCGGAGACGACGCGACCGGTGCCGCCCGCGCGCACGACGCCGCGCGTCGTCGCATTCGCCGCAAACGCCGCCGACGACGCCGAGCTCGAGGCCGTCGCGCGCCGCCGCGGTCGCCGCCTCGCGCAGTTCACGGACGTCGGGAACGTCCTCGACACCGGCTACGGAGGGTTCCCGAACGCGCTCTATCGAGGCTGGAACCCGTTGCAGACGTTCCCGACGAGCTGCTTCACGATCGGTCTTATGAACCCGCTGTACCTCGCGCAGTGCTTCGCGTTCACGACGAGCTTTTAGCTGTCGCCGTGCGCGTGATCGTACTCTATTCCTTCGCTACAACGGTGTTCTCTATCCTATGTCGTAGACTACGGTAACTTATCGTAGACTACACAGCCCTTCCGGGAAATTGTCAATGTACGTTCGTCTACATCCTCCCGCCACGGCGGCGGCGCCGCGAAGAGCTTGTCGTCCCATCGTAACGACGCCGCGTGCAACGCGACGGGCCAGTCCGGGACGACGCCTTTCTCCAACAGCTCACTCGCGTGCGTTTCTCTCGCGTCCACGTCGACCAAGTCGCCCTCGCCCTCGCCCTCGTCGTGGAGGTACCCGGCCATGGGCGCGTACAGAGTATCGCCGAGTATCGGAAACCCGAGCGCGGCGAGCTGCGCGCGGACTTGATGCGTGCGGCCGGTGACGAGCTCGATCTCCACCTCGTACACCGCGTCGTCGCCCGCGCGTCGCGACGGTTCGTCGCGCGAACCGTCGTCGACGCCGCGCGCCGCCTCCCAGTTCGCGTTCCCCTCGACGCTCTCGGCGAAGAGCGCGCGCCACGCGGCGACGTCGCGCGGCGACGCGCGCGCGCACGACCGCACCACGAGCTCGCACCGTCTCCACGGTTTGGCGTCGCCGTCGCTCGCGCTGGGCGCGCGTCGTCGCAACAACCGCGCGTTCGATCGACGCGCGCCGCGCCCGCCGAGCGCGCTCGCGCCGAACGGGCCGGGATACATGTAGTGCACGAACCTCCCGAGCGGCACCGGCGGCGGCGGCGTCGTCGCATCTTCCACGGTAACGCCACGTCGTCGAACGTTACTCGCGTTTTCCACCAAAGCGACATACGTCTTCGTGACTCGCTTCCCTCCCGCGATCGACGCGTTGAACGCTCGCACCGCGCCGAGCGTCTTCCCCAGCACCACGACCCCGCTCGTGCTCGCGTCTAACCGATGCGTCACCAGTAACGCGTCGTCTCCGTCGGTTACGCCGCCCGTAAACCCTAACGCCCGCGCGACGCACCCCGGGACGCACTCCGCCGCGTTGCTCTCGTGCGCTTGCGTCGGAAGCGCGTGCGGCTTGTTCACCGCGAGCGTCTCTTCGTCCTCGTACACGACGCGCTTTCGCCAGCCGGCCTCGCCGAGCCAGCACGCGTCGCGGTACCGCCGCGGGGTGCGGTGCACGCGCACGCGTTCGCCTGCTCGAGCGTGGGGGAAGGGGGTGGGGACGACGGCGAGTCGGCGTCGGATCTGATGAATTTTAAGATTTGCAGGCTCGTGATCTCGGACGACGCGCACCTCGACGCACGACGTCGCCGCGGAGCCGGCGCCATCGCGCCGCGCTCTCGTCGTCGTCGTCGCCGCCCGCGCGTCTCCCCTCCGGCCACCAGTCCACGTACACCGCGCCCGCGTCGAGCAGCTCCGACGCGAGCGCGTCGCTCACGTCCGCGGTCGTCGCGACCGCGCGCGTCGCGGACGTCTCGGCGTCGACGAACGGCGCGCTCACCGTCCAGTGCCGCGCGGGGACGGCGTCGCGGTCGCGGTCGCGCGGCGACCGCGGCGAAGCGCGCCGCGCGTCGTCCTCCGCGTCCAGGAGCGGCCACGGCGACGCGCGTCGTCGGCGCGCGGGCGGCGTCGTCGTCGTCGTCGTCGTCGTCGTCGTCGCGTCTTCGGCGTTATTCCGCGTCGACGACGACGCCCTCCGCCGGCGTCGCGCGCGCGTCGCCGCCGGCGCCGGCGCGGTCGTCGTCCACCTCCGCGCCGCCGCCGCGGCGACGGGCGACGCCGCGGCCGTGGGCGCCATCCCGCGCTGGGCCCGCCCGCGGACGCGTCGGCGGCGTCGCCGAACTCGTCGCGCGCCAGGCCGCACTGCCCGCGGGCGGACGCTTCATTCGTGGAAGAGTCCACTCGCACTCGAACGTTCGCGTTCGACCTAGATTGCGACCCGTCCCTCCTCCTCTCGCCAGTCGCCCCCGCGCGCGCCCTCCTCGCGCGCGCGCCGCCCGCCGCCCGCCGCCGCTCGGTGCGCGCGTCGTCGTCAGTCATGAGCGGCCCCGGGTTCGGCCCGATGCCGTCGCGCTCGTACCGCGACGGCCCCGCCGCGTCGCGACTCGAGCGAAGCGACACCACGGGCGCGAGCCGCTTCATCGAGATGTCGCGGGTGGACAAGATTCACGCGATGGACTCGGGCGCGGTGCGACGCCTGCAGTCCGACGCCCCGGAGGTTCTCGGCGGCGCGATCGAGTCCGAGCACGCGAAGCGCGCGCACGCGAGGCTCAAGCGCATGAACGCGTTCGAGTCGCACGACTACGACCCGATCGACAACGACGTCGAGGAGGAGGCGCGACGGTCGCGGAAGCGCGGCGAGTACGCCGAGTACGAGACGTGGAAGTGGCTCATGTCCGTGCTCATCGGCCTCGTCATGGGATTGATCGCGTTCACCGTGGACGGGCTCATCGAGAAGTTCAACGACATAAAGTTCGGAGCCGCGACGAGCGTGATCGAGCGCGACAGGTCCGCGCGGTTCGGCGCGTGGTTCGTCTTCGTCGCGTTGGCGTGCCTTTTAGCCGCGGTCGCCGGCGCGTTCGTGTCGTACGTCGAACCGCTCGCCGCGGGCAGCGGGATCCCGGAGGTGAAGACGTACCTCAACGGCGTGCATCTGAAGGGCCTCCTGAAGCTGCGGACGATCATCGCGAAGCTTGGCGGGATCGCGTTCAGCATCGGAAGCGGTCTCATCGCGGGGAAGGAGGGCCCGTTCGTGCACGGCGGCGGGCTCGTCGGCGGCGGGTTGTCCGCGTTCGGGTCGCACACGCTCGGATTTAAGACGCACAAGCCCGCGTGCTTTCGTAACGACGCGGATAAGCGCGACTTTGTTGCGATCGGGACCTCCGCGGGCGTCGCCGTCGCGTTCGGCGCGCCCATCGGCGGGATGTTGTTCACGCTGGAGGAGGGCGCGTCGTTTTTGTCCAACAGCATGATGTGGCGCGCGTTCCTCGCGACGTGCACGGGCGTCCTCGTCACGCACTGGCTCAACCAGCTCGACTTCGACGCCGGGGACTTCGCGCGCGCCAAGTTCGGGACGCACCGCGATTTCGGGCTGTACACCGACGACGAGGCGAACTACTCGAGGATATTCTGGTGGTACTTTTGGGAGGTGCCCATATTCGCCGCCGTCGGCTGCCTCGGCGGCCTCGCCGGCGCCTTCTTCGTCAACGTAAACGTCAAGATCACGATGTGGCGCCAGTCCTGGATCCCCGTGAAGAACCGCGCGCGGCGGCACCTCGAGGTGGTGTTCATCTGCTTCGTCACCGCGACTTTGTGCTTCGTACTCACCGCCGCGTCGCCGTGTCGACGCGTGCCCGCGCCGCTGCGAGAGGAGACGCACGAGATAGCCGCGGGCGACTACGGGTTCGAGTACGGCGTGCACACGAAGGACGCGATTCGCACGCAGTTTTTCCGACAGCTGTACTGCGACGACGGCGAGTACTCCGCGTACGGGCAGCTGTTCTTCTCGCCGTTGTCGCAGTCGTTCAAGTATCTGCTGCACCTCGGCGAGGTGGGCGAGTTCGGCGGCGACGCGCAGAACCCTGGTCAGCACGCGTTCGACATGGACGCGCTGATTCTCTATTGGCTCATAATGTTCACGCTGATGACGTGGACCTACGGCATCGGCGCGCCCACCGGGCTGTTCGTCCCGTCGCTCACCGTCGGCGCCGCCATGGGGCAGATTGTCGGACGGACCGTCCACGCGGCGGTGGCGTCGACGGGGAGCACGCTGACGATCGATCTACACACGTACGCGGTCATCGGCGCCGCCGCGAGCCTCGGCGGCGCGACGCGGATGACGGTGTCGATCACGCTTCTCGTCATGGAGACCACCGGCGCGATGCAGCTCATCATCCCGCTCATGATCACCATCTTCTTCGCGAAGACGGTGGGCGATAAGTACTCGTACGGCATCTACGACACGCACATCAAGATCCGCGGCGCGCCGTTCTTGAACGAGCCGGAGCTCACCGGTCCGGGGCTGGACAAGCTGCGCGTGAACGAGGTGATGGCCGCGAACATGGTATCGCTGAAGCCGATCGCGAAGGTGCGCGACGTCGTGGACGCGTTGACGCGGACGTCGCACGGCGCGTTTCCGATCAGCGAGGACGACCCTCCGGGGACGCCGGGCAACCCGGGGGAAACGATCGAGCTCCACGGATCCATCACGCGCGGGTTGCTGCTCAAGATGTTGACGCACCGCGTGTCGTTCTTTAACCCCGCGATCGAGGGCGGTAGAGACAGGAGAGACGCGCTGTACGAGACGGCGACGGAGCGCGACGAGCTGTTGGAGAAGTTGAAGCAGATTCCGTTCAAGTCGCCGGGCATCGAGGCCATCGCGCCGTCGCTGAGCCGCGGCGACATGGAGCTGTCGATGGATCTCACGCGGTTCATGCAGCGGCATCCGTTCATCGTGCACGCGGACGCGAGGCTATCGCGCGCGTACCGCCTGTTCCGAACGATGGGGCTGCGGCACCTGTACGTCACGCCGTCCAAGCCGCAGATCGTCGGCGTCGTCACTCGGAAGGATCTGACCGAGGAGACCGCGGCGTTGACGCTCGGGGAGAAAGCCGCGGATCGGAGCGCGATGATGGACGACGACGGCGGGCACGGCGGGACCGGGGGCGGCGCGTACGACTTGCCGTTCCTGCCGTATTACCAGAACAACCCGAACGCGGGGGAGGAGGAGATCGAGGCGACGGAAGGGGGCGCGTTCAACGAGGTGGCGAACGAAAAGGTGAGTCACCGAAACGGGAGCGGCGGGGGGCTCTCCCCGCGGGGGGGGTAGGGAGGGAGCGTCGTCGGAGCGTCGAAGCGTCGGAGCGTCGGAGCGTCGGAGCGTCGTCGGCGGCGGCTAAATACATTCGTTACAACAGAGCGCGCGCGCGCGCGCGTCTTGCTCAGAACCCCGGCGGCAACCCTCCCCCGCTCCCCGGCGCGCCCCCCGGAAACCCTCCCGGAAACCCCCCCGGAAACCCCCCGCCTCCCGCCGCCTTACCAAACTTTGGGTGGTTCTTAAACTCCAAATACAGCGAAAACATCACGTGCACGCTCTCCAGGATGTTATCGTCGTACACGGGAATGTCCAGAATGCCGCACATCAGCTTCGCCAGGTGCTCCGGGGTCACGTCCAAGTTCTCGTCTGGAAGTTTCATCGCGCGCAGCGCCTCCTCCACCTCGGGCTCGAACGGCTTCATCAACGTCTCCAAGTCCGGCATGTCGTGCGAGTACTCCACGACCGCTTCGTCCTCATCGTTCGCGTGCAGCGCGTTCACGCTCTCGATCCACGCGTTGATCTTCTCCGCGGTGAGATCCTCCGGCTCGATCGACGGCACCTCCGCATCGTCCGCGACTCCCGTCGCGCCCGGGTCGCCCTTGTGCTTGTGCCTGAGGTGCGTTCCGTACGAGCGAATGTCGGGGTGGAGTTCAAAGGCGTCAGTCGGAGTTGAAAGGCGTCGATGGCGGGTCTTGAAAGCGAGGGACCCTGATGGGCGGAGAGATGCGCCGGGAAAAGTCCTTAAGGATCGGCGTTCACCACGCCGACGGGGTCGTATGGGAACCAGTGTATCGAACGCGCCTGAGCTTCAGACGCAGCACGTCGGGGTCCGACTGCGTCGCCTTGGGCTCGTCCAAAACGCGCAATCCGAGCTCGTCCGCGACGCCGTCCGGGCGCGGGATCTTCACGAACTCGTCGATGTCGCCCACCGCGGGCTGAAAGTCCGGGACGAACGGTTTCAGGTCCGCGGGAGGGTCGACGTCGCGCGGGCGGTAGCGGTCGATGAAGTCGAAGAGCTCGCGCGCGTCCGCGGGCGCGCGCGACAGCGCCGCGTGCTCGCGCGGGTTGAACGGCGAGCGCGCGGACGACGACGCGGTCGAGACGGATACGTTCGTCGTCGTGGACGTCGCCGCGCGCGAACGGTCGCTCGGCGTCGGTTTCGGCGCGGAGCGCGTCGCCTGCGGCGGCGCGTTCCGCAGCCGCGTCGTCGTCGTCGTCGTCGTCGTCGTCGTCGTCGACGACGACGGAGCGTCGACGCGCTCGCCCGCGGGGCGGCCGCCGCCGCCCATGAGCGACCCCGCGACGTTCCCGCCGTCGTCGTTGAACTGGTGGACGCGAGGAGAACGAAGGGGGGCGACGCGAGTCAGCGACGGGACGGGACGGGACGGGACGGGACGGGACGGGACGGGACGGGACGGGATCGATCGCTCGCTCGCTCGCTCGCTCGAACGACGATCGTTCTGGGGACGGGTCAACAACGCGCGGGGACGGCGACGACGACGACGACGACGACGCGACCGAGACGCACCTCGTTCTCGATCTCCGCGCTCGAGTCCTCGCTCACGCTCGAGTCGTCCAGCGCGACCTCTTCGTCGTGGGGCTGGTTGTCCACGGCCTGGCGGAGAGGACGCGGGGACGCGGGGACGGAGGGGAGGGTCGGACGATCGAAGAGACGGCGAGCGGGCGGGAAGAACGATGGGTGGAGATTTTGAAAGGCGCGCGTCGCCGCGCGAAGAGACGCTCGCGAGATCGGCCGGCGCGACGACGACGCGAGAGACGCACCCTGCCGCCCCCGCGCGCTCGGTCCCCGGCGAGGGAGTCATCGGACTCGGTGTCGTACTCGCTCTCGCCCATCGGCGACCGCGCGTGGATCGCCGGGCGCGCGGTGTCTTTTACCAGCCAGGTGCCGAACCCGCGCGCGGGTGGGTGAAACGCGGTCGGACGAAGGCGTAGAAGGACGGCAGGTAGGGTGAAGGAGCTTCTCTCGGTCGAGTTGACCCAGGAGTTGACCCTTCAAGCCGATCGAATCTACACTACTAATCGCGAACAGGTATCGCGAACGCGCGCGAGCTGACGAGTGTTATTTTCCGTTGGACGGGTCAACGAAACGCTCAGTCGCGACGCCGCGGCCCGCGCGCATCGCACGCGCGACGCGCGATGTCGTTCGCCGCGCCGAAGCGGAAGAAGCCGCACGAGACCTGGCGCGGCGTCGGCGGCGGCGCGTCGTCGTCGTCGTCGTCGTCCGCCGCCGCCGCCGCCGCGCGCGCGGACGGCACGCGCGATGCGTCGTCGTCGTCGACGTACCGAACCCGCTCGACCGCGGGGTCGTCGTCCTCCCTGGGCAGCGTCTTCGCGGTGACGAACCGCGCGGGGATGCGCGTGACGCAGAAGGAGACGTGGAAGATGGAGGAGCTCGTGGAGTCGCTCGAGCCGGACGTCGTCCGCGCGAGGAGGAGAGACGCGGACGACGCGTCCAGCGAATGGGACTCGAGCTGGGGCGAGATGCCGACGGGCGACGGAGAGGGCGGGATCCCCGCGTGGAAGGGCGGCGCGAGGGCGACGACGGACGTGATTCCGTTCCACGACGATCCGATCCTGCGCGCGAACGTCAACGGCGCGAGCGAGTCGCGGAGACGCCCGGTGTGCGTCGCGCTGCGACCGAAGGGGCCGTCGGCGGCGAACTCTGTGGGCGTCGCCGGCGTCTGCGTCAAACTCCGCGCGTGGCTCGTCGCCAAGCGAAGAGTCCACGAGAAGCGACGACTGACGCTCATACGCATGCTCGGCGCGGGGATCACGCTCCCGGACCCGTCGGAGAACGACGAGCACAACGTCAAGATCCTCCCGCGCGACCAAGGCCCCGGGTACAGACCTCGTAAGGTTCCGCCGGGGCCGCACGACGGAAAGAAGGTGCGTTATGTACACTGTCCCCATACGACCGCGTTCGCATGGTGAACGCCGATCCTTAAGGACTTTTCCCGGCGCGTCTCTCCGCCCACACCTCGGTTTCAATCCCCGCCCTCGACGCCTTTCAACTCCACCTGACGCCTTTCAACTCCACCCCGACCGTAAGATCACCGTCAACGGGCTCCCGCTCGACGCCGACGGCCGCCCCGTCGGCGTGACGGCGACGTTCCCGGACCCGAAGTACGCGGCGATCGATGGGACCGGGAACCCGCTGCCACTCGAGGAGCGGCGTGCGTTCATCCCGCGGCAGCTGCCGATCACGAAGCGGACGTATCACCCGATGTGCGCGCCGCCGAGAGGTGCGTTCCGTTTTGTTTTCTTCCTTCGGCTTGGACGCCCGTCTGTCTCTCCGTCGTTCGTTACCCGCCACACGATATGCCACGTCATCGAATCTTTTGATCACGACCGACCGCGCGCGTCCGTCCCATCCCCCAGGGACGGTGGCGTCGGACGGCTCGTGGGACTTGCCGTCGGTCACGCCGAAGATCGACCTCGCGGCGGAGATGGCGGACCCGCCGCCGCGCCGCGCGCCGAGCGTGTTCATCGACAGAGAGCAGTTCGCGCGCGCGTGCGCGCATGCGGGGACGCCGTTCACGGACGAAGACGTCGCGGCGGTGTTTGAAAAATACGGCGTCGTGCCGTCCAATCCGGCGACGCGCGTCGCCGGCGACGACGAAGAGGCGGCGCGGAGGAAGCGCGAGAAGCAGATCGACATCGAGCGATTCGCGGATAAGGTGCTCGCCGCGCCGAGGCGGGAGCTCGGGCAGGCGCCGTCCGCGCCGATCGACGGCGGGCCCGCGGACGGGTTCGAGGGGAAGATCTCGTACCCGCCGTGTAACACCCCGGTGATGGCGCCGACCGGGTGGGAGAGCTACCACGCGCGGCGGTCCGCGGACGCGCCGAAGGAGTCGCTGAGGTTGGAGTGGACGTACGGCGCGTCCGTCGCGGGCGTCGGCGGGATGCTGCAGTTCGCGCCGAGGACGGGGACGGGGACGGGGACGGGGATGAGGAGGAGGACGCGCGGCGGCGGCGGCGGCGGCGACGACGACGACGCGCGCGAATCGACGTCGGCGTCGGCGTCGGGATCGAAATCGTCGTCGGCGGGCGCCGGGCACTGGGTCTACGCGTGCGGCGCCGTCGGCGTCGCGTACGACGTCGAGACGCAGACGCAGACGCACTTCCGCGGGCACGACGAGGGCATCGTCTGCCTCGCGACGCACCCGTCCGGGCGGTGGGCGGCGACCGGGCAGGCGGGGCGGATCCCGTGCGCGGTGATCTGGGAAGTGGAGTCCGGGAAGGAGATCGCGCGGCTGCGGCACGACGTCGGCGACGGCGCGGTGATCGCGCTCGCGTTCTCCCCCGGCGACGGAAGCGTCGGGGGAGGCCACGCGAGGATCGTCACGATCTGCGCGGACAACAAACACACGACGCGCGTGTGGGATTGGGGCGGCGACCCCGGGTGGCGACCGAGGCCGCGGCGGCTGTGCGCCGGCGTCGGGTTGAACGGCGCGCCGTGCCCGCCGAAGGTGCGCGGCGCCGCGTGGAGCCCCGCGCTCGATCGGTTCGTGACGTTCGGCGCGAAGCACGTCAAGCTGTGGACGCCGACGGAGGACGCGCCGATCGCCGCGGGGGGCGTCGTCGCGGCCGCGCCGCCGACGGGCTCGCGCGCGAACACGCCCGTGATGGGTCTCGTGACCGCCTCCGGATCCGGCGCGACCGCCGACGCTCGCGGCGCCGGAAGCGCGGCCGGAACTCCTACCGCGTTGCCCGCCGGAAACAAGCGCGGGGTGTACTCCGCGCGGCCGTGCGTCTTCGGCGCCGCCGCCGGGTTCGATAAGGGCGCGTCCGACGCGCTGTGCGGCGCGTTTCTTCCCGGCGGCGGCGGGCGCAAGTTTATCACCGGCCACCGGAACGGGTTTCTGTACCTGTGGAGCGACCGGACGTGCGAGCGGACGATCGACGCGCACGGCGCGAACCCGGTCAAGTCGATCGCGGTCGCGGTCGTCGCGGCCGACGGCGACGGCGACGGCGACGGCGACGACGACGAAGACGCCGTGGAGGTGATCTCCGCGGGCGGCGGCGGCGCGGTGCGCCGCTGGGAAGTCGTCCGCGGCGTCGTCCTCGACGACGCGGCGTCCACGCGCACCGCGCAGACGCCGACGGTGTACCCTCCCGGGGACGCCGCGGTCGCGGCGGCGATGAACGCGGCGCCGCCCGCCGTCGCGGCCGTCGCGGCGACCCCCGCCGGTGACGTCGCCGTCGTCACCGCCGTCGGCGACTTGTGGCTCATGCCGCGCGTCGGGTCGCCGCGGCCGATGACGCACGGGTGCGCGGGCCCCGCGCACGACGTGTGCTGGCACCCGCGGAGCGAGGGGATATTCGCCGTCGCGGGCGGGTCGGCGCGCGTGATGGTGCGAGACGCGAGGACGAGGGACGCGGTGGGCGCGGCGTGGGCGTTGGATCCAGTCCCGGGGAAGGCCACCGCGTGCGCGTTCAGGCGCGTTCTCCTCACACTGGTCCCCATACGACCCCGTCGGCGTGGTGAACGCCGATCCTTAAGGACTTTGCCCGGCGTGTCTCTCCGCCCATCCCTCGCTTTCAAATTTCGCCCTCGAAGCCTTTCAACTCCAACTGACGCCTTTCAACTTCACCCCGACGTTCGCTTGGAACGGCCCTCAGCCCCGCCGCGGAGGATCACGAGCCGCCGCCGCCGGAGAGCGACGACGACGACGACGACGACGCGGCGGACGGCGGTAAAAGAACGCCCCCTCGGAACGCCGACGCGGTATCGCCGTCGTCGATGACGTCGTCCGCGTCCGCGACGCCGCTGAGCCCCCGCGCGGCGAAGATTCGAGCCGAGCTGAACGCGCGCGCCGCCGCCAAGGCGGCTAACGCGCCGCCGAAACGCCTCGGCGTCCTCGCCATCGGCTGCGCCGACGGCAGCGTGCGCCTCGTGAAGCTCGTCTCCGCGACGCTCTCGTCTGTGGACGCGCCGCCGCCGGAAGGGTTCGAGGACGAGTGGGTCGGCTCCACCGCGGCGGCGTTCCCCGCGTGCAAGGCGCGTTTAGGATCTCACACCGGTCCCCATACGACCGCGTTCGCGCGGTGAACGCCGTTCCTTAAGGACGGACTTTTCTCCCCGGCCGGCGTTTCTCTCCGCCCAGGGTCCATCGCTTTCAATCCCGACACACCTCGACGCCCGCCTTTCAACTCCATCTGACGCCTTTCAACTCCACCCCGACGTCGCTTCGTATGAACCCTCGACGCTAAGACCCCGGTGACGACGCTCGCGTTTTCACCCGGAGGGCGGTTCCTCGCCGTCGGGTCGCACGACGACAAGACTCTCGTCGTGCTCGAAGTGCAGCGCGCGGTCGAGGAGGACGTCCACGACAACGTCACCGTGTCGTACAACCTGACGCGCGCGGCTCGGTGCGTCGGACACGCCGCGGGGATCACGTCCATCGACTGGTCGACGGATTCGAAGATCATTCGTTCGACGAGCCGCGCGGGTGAGATTCTGCATCACGACGGCGTCGGCGGGCGGCTCGCGGTCGGCGACTTCCGCGACGCGTCGTACGCGGAGTGGACCTCGCCGCTCGGGTTCGAGGTGATGGGCATATGGCAGGGCGGCGCGCTCAGCGGCGACGACGTCAACGCCGTCACGGTCGCGGCGACGCGCGGCGTGTGCGCGACGGGCGACGACTTCGCGCGCGTCCGGCTGTTCAACTACCCGTGCGTCGTTCCGAACGCGCCCGCGAGGGAGGAGATGGAGACGCACGCGTCGCACGTCTCCCGCGCGCGGTTCTCCCCGGACGCGCACGGGAACGCGCGGCTGGTGTCGCTGGGCGGCGCGGACCGCGGCGCGGCGCAGTGGGCGCTGATGGGCGAGGACGGGAAGCCGGTGCCGCCGCTCGAGACGCCCGCGGAGGAGGCGGCGCGCGCGAAGGCGGCGGCGGAGAGGCAGCGGAGACGCCGCGCGTCGTCTCAGTCGTACGCGGTGGACGGTATGATGTTTGCAGGCTCCTCGGGGTCGGAAGACGACGTCGACGACGACGAAGACGGCGACGACGAAGACGACGACGACGACGACGACGGCGATTTCGCGTTCGCGCGCGCCGGCGGCGGCGACGGCGGCGGCGCGCGGGCGTCGCCGTCGCCGTCGCGATCGCGATCGCGACCGAGCGGTGGCGTCGTCGGCGGCGGAGAGGACGCCGACGGAGCGCCGCGAACCGCCGCCGCGGCGATAGATGACGTGAACGCGCGCATGAAGGCGCTCATGCGCGCGGCGGCGCCGCCGAGACGGACGCTCAGAAAACCCAACCCGCCGTCTCGACTCCTCGACGCGTCGTCGTCGACCCCGCCGCCTCCCAGGGCCAAGGCGAAGACCGCCGCGCCGGTCGCGTTCGGGGGGCGGACGACCCCGGCGCCGGCGCTCAAGCCCGCGCGCGCGAGGGGCACCGCGGTCGCGGCGCCGAGGACGCCGTCGGTGTTGCTCCGCCCGAGCGCGTCTCAGGCGCGTTCTATCATATACACCGGTCCCCGTACGACCGCGTCGGCGCGGTGAACGCCGTTCCTTAAGGACTTTTTCCCCCGGCGTTTCTCTCCGCCCATACCACGCTTTCAATCCCGACACGCCTTTCAACTCCATCTGACGCACCCCTGAACTCCTCCCCGAATTCGCTTCGTGTGGACCCTCGACCCTCGACTCTCAGACGAGAGCCGCGGCGGCGGAGCGCAAAGCCGAGGCGAAGGCGGCGCGCATCGCCGCGAAAGCCGTCGCGCTCGCGGCTGACGTGGACGTCTTCTTGAAGAGCAACCCGGACGCGAGGAACGCCGCGGTCGTGGACGATTTACTGGACGAGCTTCTGGACGCGGACTTGGAGAAGGAGGACGAGGCGCCGGTCGAGGAGGAGAAGGAGGAGGAGGCGGAGGTCGAGGAGGAGGAGGAGGAAGAAACGGCGGACGTCGAGGCGTTTCGCGTAGGGTATTCTCGACCCTCGCGCGGTCGCGCGATCGCGACGGCGGCGGACGACGACGACGACCTCGAGGACCTCGAGCCGCGGAAGCCGCTGGAGCTGGAGCCCGCCGCCGCCGCCGCCGCCGCCGCCGCCGACGACGACGACGCAGCCGAGTCTGAGTCCGCCGCGGTGGTCGGCGACCTCGTCTCTGCCGCGATCGCGGCCGTCGTCTCCGGCGACGACGAGGCGACGACGCGGCGGAGATAGACGTGCTGCTACAGATCGCTTCGTTTGTATCAAACGAACGAACGAGTGCTAGGACGCTAAGTTAACAGTCGTTACCCGTCGACGGCGGCTGCCGCGGTCTTCTTTTTCTTTTTCTTCTTCTTCTTCTTGCCGACCCGCCCCGCGAGACAGCTCGCGTCCGTCGTCGGGTCCCACGCCTGGACTTTCCGCCGTTTCTTCGAGGCGGCGCCGGCGCCCGCGGCGGCGGCTCTTCCACCGGCGTCCTCGTCCTCCTCGTCCTCGTCCTCCTCCTCGCTCGCGTCGCCGTCGCCGTCGTCGCGACTTCCCCATCGTCCGCCGCCTCGCGCGCTCGCGTCCTCCTCTCGCTTCCGCTGCCGCGTCGCCCCGAGGCTCCGCCCGAGCTTCTTCTCCACGCCGCCCATGAGCCGCGTCGCCTTCGAGTGCGGCAGGAACTTCGCGCCGAGGCCGAGCCGCTCCGGGCGCGACGCGCGCTCGACGTCCACGTCCTCGACGCCGTACCAATCGTCGAAGCGCATGTCCTCGCCCGCGCGCCCGAGCCATCCTTTGACGGTCTCGAACGCGACGCCGTTGGCGTACACGTCGACGTCCTCCGCGCGGCGCGCGGGTTCGTCCGCCGCCGCGGACGCGGACGCGGACGCGGTCGCGCCGGCGCCGGGATCCCTCGACATGATCGCGAGAGGCGGCGGCGGCGGCGGCCGACGAGTGACGCGACGAGAACGGCGCGTAGCGTAGAAAGCGTAAGCGGACCAGACGAAGTTCAGTCATCAGACGCGACGCGACCCGCGCGCCGCGCACACCGCCCCGCGCGGCGATGGTCGTCGCCGCGCGCGCCGCGGCGACGGCGACGCGCGCGCCCTGCCTCGCGCGGCCGCGCGCGCTCTCGAGCCGCCCGTGGACGCGCGCGCCGGCGCCGCCGCGCGCGACGCCTCGCGATCGCGCGGTCGCCGTCGTCGCGGGGTCGTTCGCGTCGTCCGCGGACGCGCGCCGCGCGCGCCGGCGCGAGCCCCCCGGGCTCGCGTTCACGACGCGCGCGTCCGACGTCGACGCGCGCGAGCTCGCGTCGCTCCTCGGCGGCGGCGGCGGCGACGACGACGACGACGCGCTCGCGGCGAAGCTGCGCGCGATGCTCGACGCGAGCGAGGCGGTCGTCGTCGCCGCGTTCGCGTCGTCGTCGTCGTCGTCGTCGTCCTCCTCCTCCTCCTCCTCCTCCTCGCCGTCGCCGATGGAGCGGATGCGGTACTTGAATCCGTTCGCGTCGCGCTTCGGCGGCGACGTCCGCGGGAAGGCGCTCGTCGGGTTCGCGCACGCGGCCACCGACGGCGCGATGGTCGCGACCGTGGACGTCGTCGTCGTGCGCGAGGACGCCAGAGGCGCGGGCGTCGGCGAGAAGCTCGTGCGGCGGCTCGGGGAAGAGCTGTGCGCGAGGGACATCTACGACGTCGGCGTGCGCGCGCCGAGGGAGCGGCGCGCGTTCTTCGCGCGCTGCGGGTTCGGCCCGGACGCGGAGGGCGCGACGCTGATGGCGTTGCCGCCGGGCGGCGGCGGCGGCGGCGGCGGCGGCGCGACGGGCGCGAAGGGGGGCGACCGCGCGCGCGAGCTCGCGAAGACGTTCACCCCGGAGCGGACGCTGAAGAACGACGGCGCGGGTTTGCGGGAGATGATGCTGAAGGAGATGCGCGACGCGGACGGGACGGCGCGCGCGGGGTGACGACGAGCCGACGACGTGCGTAAATGAATCTATTCGAGAGACGATGACGACGACGTCCGCGGCGACCGCGCGTCGTCTTCGCCGCGGTCGCGGTCGCTCACGCCGCGACGGTCGCCGCGAGCGCCTCCTTCAAGCTCCCGTCGCTCGCCATCTCGAGCACGATGTCGCACCCGCCCACGAGCTCGCCGTTCGCGTACAGCTGCGGGTACGTCGGCCAGTTACTGTACTCTTTCAGCCCCTGCCTGACGTCCTCATCCGAGAGGATGTCGAACGTCCCGAACGGCACCCCCGTCGCGCCCACCGCGTCGACGACCTTCCGAGAGAACCCGCACCGGGGCTCGTCGCGGGTGCCCTTCATGAAGAGCATCACGGGCTCGGACTTGACGAGCGCGGCGAGGCGCGCGTTGAGGTCGCCGCCGCCCGCGTCCGCGTCCGCGTCCGCCGCCGCCGCCGCCGCGTCCGCGAGCGCCTCCTTCAAGCTCCCGTCGCTCGCCATCTCCAAGACGATGTCGCACCCGCCCACGAGCTCGCCGTTCGCGTACAGCTGCGGGTACGTCGGCCAGTTACTGTACTCCTTCAACCCCTGCCTGACGTCCTCGTCTGAGAGAATGTCGAACGTCGAAAACGCGATCCCCGTCGCGCCCACCGCGTCGACGACCTTGCGCGAGAACCCGCACCTGGGCTCGTCGAGGGTGCCCTTCATGAAGAGCACCACGGGCGTCTGCGTCGTGAGGCGCTTGAGTCGCGCGTCGAGGGGCTCCGCCGCCGCGGGCGCCGCCGCGGCTGCGGGCGCGGACGCGGCCGCCGCCGCGGCCCCTCCGACGCCGAAGTGCTGCCGCACTCTCCCCGCGAGCGCGCGCGCGTCCGCGCCCTCCAGCGCGTCGATCTTCTCCGCGCCGCGGTGGAACGTGAAGAACGGGACCGCGCTGACGTCGTATCGCTCCGCGAGGTCGTCGCACGCCTCGGCCTCGACGCGCGCGAACGTCACCGCGGGGCGCGCGGCGGCGAGCTCTCGCATGAGCGCGTCCATCGCGCCGCACGGTTCGCACCACGACGCCCAGAAGTGCGTCACGACGAGGGCGTTCGGACGCGCGAGGAGCGCGTCGTGCTCCGCCGCGGAGCGCGCGTCGACGAGCGACATCGACGATGAGCGGTCGCGGTCGCGTCGAGGGGAGGCGCGCGAGCGGACGGGCGCGCGCGAGATCTGACGTTCGAGGGGAGATCGCTGCGCTGACGACCACCAAGCGCTTTTCGCGACGATTCCGACGAGGCGGACTTCCGAGGATTTACCCTAGTCTGTAAACCCTGAAATTGCGAAACCGTTCGACCAATGGGAACGCACTGCGCTCGCGTCTGATTGGTCGACGCGAACGAACACCGAGGCGCGCTACCGGAGCTAATGTCCATGTTTTTGTGTTTTGGTTTTTTCGTGCCGAAATCGCATGCGTAAACAGTCACACGGAGGATCGACGAAAAGGCAACACGTGATCGTAGGGCGCACGCCCGAATTCGAGGCGTGCGCTTTCGAGTTTCGGCGTGCACTTTTCCACGCGCCGACGCGTGCGAAAACCTCCTAACTAATTGCGCATACGATCACGAAATCGTTCCGACGTTTGGCGGCGGCCTCGATTCAATCGCGCGCACAATCGCACGCGCTCTCGCACGCACGCACGGACGCGCCCCGGCAAATATGCTTCGCCAGCCCGCGCTTCTCGCGCTCCTTCTCGCGGGCTTCGTCGGCCGCGCGAATGCGCTCAACTACATGGCGGGCTACCAGCCCCTCACGGACGTGAGCGAACGCCAGAACATGGACATCGACCTCGAGGCGATGGACACGGACAGCCAGTACTTGCTCGGAGGCGAGTGCGGCGGTAACTGCAAGCTCAACGCTTGCACCGGCGTGACCTCGTCCTGGTCCACGGGCGAAGGCTGCAACTATGATGGATCCACGGTGGCCTGGAACCTGGTGGCTGGTGGCGCGGCGTACAACGGGTCCCCGGATAACACGAACACTGCGTACACGATCTGGTCTAACGGATACGGGTCCACCGCCAGCGACGGTGTCAGCAAGCGCACGTTCTTCGGCCTCGCCTCGGCGCTCGACAACAACAAGGGTGCCAGTGACTCCGTCAGCATGGCAAACAACAAGTTCATCAAGCTCATGAAGGCGTACTGGGAAGGCACGATCGGCCTGACCGCGAACGCGTGGATGACCGACATGGTCGAGCACGCGTTCACGGGCGAAGCCGTCGGCGCCCTCAACTTCGGCACCGTCGGCCGCGACTTCCGCAGGCAAGCGATCACTAAAGGCAGCCTGTACCTCAACGTCTTCCCTTACATAATCTGGGAGCTTCAGGACGCCGTTAACGACTGCAAAACCGGCTCGTGGACGGGCCAAGCGTGGGATGAAGGGCTCGCGTTCTACGCCGGTAACATTGGCGGAGGCGCCGCGCCGTCGGACACCGGTTCCATGCAGTACGCTCTCGCGGACAAACGCTGCCAGAACTTCAACACGTGCGCGGACGGCTTCACCGGCCAATCCAAGGTCAACCAGGAGATCATCGCGCTCTTCGCGGATGGCAAGAACAACTACTTCTCGGCGTCCTCGAACACGGACCAGTGCAACATGATCGAGCACCTCGGCGACAGAATCATCGGCCAGATGCTCATCCCGCTCGTGCAGGGCACGGTCCGCTACCTGTACAAGACGTCCGAGTCGCAATCCTCCAAGGAAGCGGGCGAGCTCTGGGCGTTTGCGACGGCCATTCTTCCGTTCGTGCACGCCGTCGACCCCGACGCGGCGGCGAGGCTCTACAACCGCGCGTGGAAGCACGACTTCTCGGAGCCGTGGACGGACATCCGCGGCGCGATCGAGGGCACGTACGGCGGCTTGGGCGCCGGCGACGCCGTCGGCCAGGTGTCGTGCGAGGCCGTCGGTGACTTGTACGATGAGACCAAGACGCTCATCTCCGCGGGCGGGTGCTACGGCGAGGATGAGCTCGAGGACTGGGAGATCGCGCTCATCGTCCTCGGCACCATCGCGCTCGTGAGCTTCCTCGGCTGCGGCGCGTACGCCATCTGGTCGCACGTGAAGAAGCAGCGCGTCCAGAAGAAGTACGACCAGCTTCTCATCTCGAAGACTGGCGCGATGATGCCCGTCACCGTGTAACGCGGAGGCGACGGACGTCGGGGAGGGGGGGGAGTCTCGCACTCGTTCATTCGATCTTGTACATACGGTGAAACGAACGTGATACGTTTTAATAATAACAACAACTTTTCATGAATAACCTTACGATAAACCCTCCTCGCCTTATGTACTGCACTACGTGATCCCCATCCCGTCCCCCGTCCTCCCCGCTATCGTTCCCCGCTCGCGCGTCGCGCCGGGGTGAACGAAACCCCCAGCCTCTCCGCGTAGTCCGCGAGCGTGGCTTCGTACCGATCGAGCGTCCTGCTCTGCTCGTGGTACGCGCGCTTCATCTCCATCACCTCGTCGAAGAACGCGGGGTCCAGCGCGTCGAGCTCCACCTTGAGGTCCGCGTTCTCCGCGCGAAGCGCGGCGATCTCCGCCGCCGCGTCGCCGCCGCCGCCGCCGCCGCCGCGCACGGCGGCGTCCATCGCTTCCAGCGCGTCCTGCCTCGCCGCCGCCGCGTCCCTCTGCGCGACGACGAGAAGATCTCGTGTCTCCGCGAGACGAAGCGCGGTCGACGCCGCGTCCTCGCGCGCGGCGGCGAGCATCTCCGCGTCCGCGCCGCTCTGCAGCCGCGCGCGGAACTGCTCGTTTTGCGCCTGCAGCCGCCGCGCGCGTTGCGTCGTCTCCTTGTGCGTCTTCTCGAGCTGCCTCAGCCCCACCATCTCCTGCTCCAAGTCTCGCACCTTCGCGCGGAGCTCCTTCGCCGCGCGCGCGTGCTCGATCCCGCGCTCTTTCGCGGCAGCCTGCCCGCGCACGGCGGCGATCTCCGACTGCTGCTTCTCGACGACTTTTTTCAAAGCCTCCACGACGTCCTCGAGCTCGCGCGCGCGTCGCGTCGCCGCGGCGACGCCGGACGCGCCGTCGCCGCCGTCGCGCTCGCGCTCGCCGCGGAAGAGCCTGTCGAGACGCCGCTGCAGACGCTCCGCGCGCGCGTGCGACTGCTCCGCCTCGAAGCGCAGACCGAGCGCGGCGTCGTCCTTCGCGAGGAGCTCGCCCTCGAGCGTCCGGACTCTCTGCTCGGCGGCGGCGCGCGCCGTGGCGTCGAGCTCGTCCCCGGTGACGCCGCGCCCCGTCGTCGTCGTCGTCGCCGCGGCGGCGGGCGCGGGGGTATCCGCGAGGCGGCGCTTCAGCTTGGCGATCTCCGCGGCTTGGTCGACCTCGACGACGCGCTGCAGCGACGCGATCTCGCGGTGCAACGCCTCGTTTTCATCCGCGAGCTCCTTCGCGGCGGCGGCGTCGGGGCCGCCGCCGGCGCCTCTCTTGACGTCCTCCGCGAGCTTCGCCGCGCGCGATTGCAGCGCGGTCTTCTCTTTCGCGAGCTCGTTGAGTAAATCCAGGCGTTTGTTCGCGAGTTTGTCCGCTTCCTCCGCCTCGCGCGTCCGCGTCGCGAGCTTCTTCGCGAGCGACTCGGCCTTTTTTCGAAGCTTCACCCCCTCCTCCCAGCGCGCCAGCGTCTCCTCGCGCCGCCGCGTCTCCTCCGCGGACTCCTTCGCGCCGCCGCTCGGCGGCTCGTTCTCCCCGCGCGTCGCCGCGGAGACCGAGACCGAGGACCGTTCCGCGGGCCGCCCGCTCCTGATCGCGACGGACTCCTCGCGCTCCGCGCGCAGCAGCTTGTTGAGCTTTTCGTTTTGCGTCTTGAGCACCGCGACGCGCTTCTCGAGCTCCTCCGCGCGCTCGCGCTCCGCCGCCGCGTTCGCCGCCGCGTCCGCGGTCTGCCGCGACAGCCGCTCGATGACCTCGCCGTCGACGCCGTCGTCGTCGCGACGGTCGGCGGCGCGGTCGGCGACCGCGACCGCGGCAGCGCGCGACGACGACTGCGCCCTCGTGCGCTCCGCCGCGGAGCGCGCGACGGCAGCCTCGCGCGCCGCCTTCGCGGCCGTCTCGCGCGCCGCGCGAGCCTCCGCGGCCAACCGCGCGCGCTCTTCGGCCCACAGCGCTTCGCGCTCCTTCGCGGTCGCGAGCTCCTCGCGCGCGCGCTTGAGCTGCGCCGCGAGCGTCGACGCGCGCTTGTCCGCGCCTTCGGCTTTGAACTGATCAACCTCCGTCATCCGCTGATCCGCGCGCGCGATCGACCCGTCCGCCTGCTTCTGCATCGCCTCCACGAGCTTCTTCTCGAGCTCGCGGATCGCCTCCTTGAGCTGCGCGAGCCTCTTGTCCTTCTGCGCGAGCTGCGTCTTGAGACGCGCGACGAGCGTCTCGAGGACGCGTGACGGCCCGCGCGCGCGCTCGCGGTCAATCTCCGCGACGACTCTGTCCATCTCGCCCTCCTTCTGCTGCGCGCGCGCCAGCAAGCGCGCCTCGGACACCTCGTGCCTCGCGCGCTGCTGCTCGAACCGCTGCGTGAGCACCTCGATCGCTTGCTCGCGCTCGGACAGGAGCGCGAGGAGCTGCTCGTGGGACTTGTCCGCGAACTTGCCGCGCCCGCCGCCGGCGCCGGATTTGGAAGGCGTCCTCCCGCCGCCGCCGCCGCCGCCGCCGCCGCCGCCGAGGACGCCGCCGTACTCGAGCTGCTCCTTCATCGCGTCGATCTTGTGCTGGTCCTGCTTGAACAGCAGGTCGTTCAGCTTCTCGATCGTCCGCCGGTCCTCGTCCTGCTTCGAGAGCGCGTCCGCGCGGAGGTCCGACATCGCCGCCTGCGCGCGCGTCAACGCGGCGTTTTTCTCCCCGACGAGCTCTTGCAGCCGCGCGATGGTCGCCTGCGCCACCGCGGTGACCTGCGCGACCGCGGAGTCGTCGCCGGTAGCGCCGGTCCCGTGCTCTCCGTCCGCGCCGGTCCCAGCCGCGATCGTCGCGTCGAGGCGCCGCTGCACCGCGTCGCGCTCGTTCTCCGCGTTCTGAACCGCGGCGGCGGCGGCGCGCGCTTCCTCCGTCGCCCTCGCGCACTTCGCCTCCGCCTCCGTCGCGCGGAGTTTCAGCGCGCGAATCGCCTCGATCTGTCGCAGGACCATGCGCTGGGTCTCCATGGACGTCGCGCCCGGTTGGAGGCCGACCGCGGCGGCGGCGCCGACGGCGGCGAGCGCCTCCGCGTTCGCGCGGCGACGCGGCAGCGGCGCGGCGAGCACCGCGTCGGCGTCGTCGGCGTCGGCGGCGCCCGTCGCCGTCGCGCTCGCGTTCGCGCCGTCCTTCTTCGCGTCGCCGACGCCGACGTTCCGCGCGGTGAGAATCTCGCGCTGGAGCTCTCGAACCTTCCTCGAGAATTCCTCCGCGCGGTCCGCGTCCGCTCTCTTGTCGATGAGCGCGCGCTCTTCCATCTGACGCGTCTCCAGCTCGCGTTCCCGCTCCCTCGTCTCGAGGTATTCCGCGCGATCGTTCGCCTGCTTCGCCGCGCGCTCCGCCCTCGCCGCGGCGAGCTTCGCGCGCATGAGCTCGTCGGACAGCTTGCGAATTTCGCGCATCGCCGCGTCGGGAGACCCGCCGTCGTGTTCTCTCGCGACGCGATCGATATTCTTGAGCGACGCGAGCTCGAGCTCGGCGGCGCGCGCGCGCTCGGCGGCGCCGCGAAGCGTCTCTTGCGCGCGTCGCAGCAACTCCTCGCGTCGCTCCGCACCCTTGCGGAGGTCCAAAATCGCGCGCTCCCACTTCTCCGCCTCGGACAAGTCGACCCTCCCCGCGACCGCGGTCTCGAGCCTCGCGAGCGCAGCCTCCTGCGCTTGCATGAGCCCTCTCGAGTCCTCGCGTAAGCCGTAGAGGCGATTCTCCTGCACTTGCGCGCGGCGGTGTAAACGCAGGCAGTCGCCGTGGAGCCGATCCGCCTCCGCCTCAGCCACCTGCACCTGGTGCTTGAGCTGCGCGTTCCCGCCCTTGAGCCGGACGACGTCCTCGTTCGCGCGCGCGAGCGCGGCGGCGGCGTCGGACCGCCGCTCCATGTCTCGCACCGCGGAGCGAAGCTGCAGAAGCTCCGCGTCTCGCGCGGCGTGCGCGGCGTTTTTCCGTCCCAGCTCCGTCTCAGCGCGCGCGGCGCGATCCTCCGCGCGCACAACCTCCGCGCGCAGACGCGCCGCCTCGTCCTCCGCGGCGGCGACCGCTTCCATCTCCGCGCGGTGCTTGTCCTCGCTCACGGCGACGGCGAGCTGCGACAGGTGTTTTCGCTCCGCCTCTTGCGCCTCGTGCACGCGCGCCTTGGCCTCCGCGAGCTGAGGGTCGAGGGTCCATACGAGCGAACGTCGGGGTGGAGTTGAAAGGCGTCAGGTGGAGTTGAAAGGCGTCGAAGGCGGGGATCGAAAGCGAGGGGTGGGCGCAGAGAGACGCGGGCAAAAGTCCTTAAGGATCGGCGTTCACCACGCCAACGCGGTCGTATGGGGACCAGTGTTGTATAGAACGCGCCTGGTGCTCGAGCCCGAGGACGGCGCTCTCGAGGTCCGCCTTGGACTCCGTCAGCCGCTCCGACTCGCGCTTCGCGAGGTCCGCGAGGCGCTTCGACGCCTCGAGCTCCGCGCGCGTCTCCGCCACCTCGCGTCGGAGCTCCACCGCGGACGCGGCGAGGCCTTCGCGCCCCGCGCGGTCCGCGGCGTCGTCGAGCGCGGCGGAGAGCTCGCGGACGCGATTCTGCGCAGCCGCGTTGGCCGCGCTCGCGGCGTCCGCCTGCGCGCGCGCGGTCACCGCGTCCTCCTGCGCCGCCTTGAGCTGCGCGGAGGACACGGCGCTCTTGACGCGCGTCTCGAGGAGCTCCTTGAAGCGCACCTGCAGCGCGCGGTTCGCGTCGACGACAGCCGCGTGCTCGGGCCGCGGGACGCACAGGTCGAGCTCGCGTTGGCACCGCGCGGCGCGCAGCTCCGCCTCCGCGGCGCGGCGCTCGTGGAACGCGAGGCGCTCTTGGCACGCTCTCGACATCTCTTGGACGTCGATCTCGAGCTCCTCCTTCTCCGCGCGGAAAGAGGCCTCCGCCGAGGTGGCCGCCTCGACCGCTCTCGAGAGGCGCACCTCGCGGACTTGCAGCACGGCGAGGCGAGAGTGCGCGGCGGAGAGCGCCTCCTTCAGACCGCTCTCCGCGCCGGGCTTCAGGCGCTCGCACAGCGCGGTCGCGTCCTTGGCCTCGATGCGGTTCGCCTCCGCCTCCGTCTCGGCGCGCTTGGCGCGCTCGAGCAGCGTCTTGCGCTCTTCGCTCCACGCGTTTCTCGCGCGCACGTGCTCGCGGTACAACGCCGTGCGAACAGCCTGGAGCTCCGCGATGCCCGTCTTGTACTTGGCCGTCTCGTGCGCGAGCTCGTCGAGCTCGCGCTCCTTCGTCTGGAGCTCGGCGACGACGCCCGCGAGCGCGCGGTCGGCGGCGACGCACTCCTCGCGCATCTTTTGCACGTCCGTCGACGCGCCGTAGTCCGCGCCGCCGACGCCGGCGACGACGCCGGAGGCGCCGACGCCCATCGTGGCGGGCGCGGCGTCGATCATGCTCTGCAGCGACCGGGCTCGCGCGTGCAGCGCGTTCCTCTCGCCGCGCAGGCGGTCGATCGTCTCGAGCGCTTCCGCGTACGCGGACGCGTCGACGGCGGCGCCCGGCGCGGCGGCGGCGGCGGCGGCGGCGGCGGTCGCCGCGCCTCTCGGCGGCGAATCCGGCGCGCGCGCCGCCGCCGCGGGCGACGCCGCGACGGACGCGACTCCTCCTCCGCCGCCCGATCCGACGAGCGCGCCCTGCACGCTGCTGCGCATCATCGCGACGTTGTATCCGTCCTCGAGTCGAACAATCTCCGCGCGCGCGCGCGCGAGCTGCGACTGCAGCTCCGCGACTTGTGAGTGGTCGCCGCCGCCGTACGACCCGGCGGCGATGAGCGGCATCGAGATGCCGCCCGCGCCCGTCTCGCCTCTCTGCAGGCGGTCCAGCGCCTCCGCGAGGCGCTGCTGCAGCGTCTTGTTCGCGTCCTCGAGCTCGCGAATCGCGCGCGCGCCGATGCCCTGCGACGCCCGGAAGCCCGGATGACTCCCCGCGTCGTCGGCGTCGTTGAAGAGCGCGTCGTCGCCGTATCGCAACGCGTCTGCGTACTCTTCGAGCATCCCGAGCTGCCGCGCGGAGAGGCCGAGACGCGCGGCGTGCTCGCCCTGCCACTTCGCTCGGTACCGAAGCTCGTTCCGCAGGCGCCGGCGGTCTTCCTCGAGGTCCGCGACCTCGCGTTCGAGCTGCGCGTTGAGCGCGCGCATCTGCGCCGACTCAACCTGGGACTTGAGCTTGAACCCGCCGAGGTCCAACGTCGCGTCCTCGGGGATGCCAGCCTTCTGGCGCAAGTACCGCGTCTCTTCGATGAGGTCCTCCACCTTCCGTCCGAGCTGATTCGACAGCGCGACGGCGTCCTCCACCTGCGCGTCCGCCGCGCGCACGCGAAGCCGCGTCTGTTTCAAGTCTCGCATCGCGTCCGATAAGCCGTACACCCCAGCCTCGTACTTCTTGCACCGCTCGTTCGCCTCCGCGAGGTCCTCCTGCGCGTGCGTCAGCTCCTTGTCGATGCTTCGGAACCGCTTCGTCTCGATGTCCAGCGCTTCGTCCTGCGCGGCGAGCTTATCGTGCAGCGCGTCGTGCTGGCGTCGTTGCCGCTTCAACGCGATGTCGATCTCGCGTCCGACGTCGTGTTCCAGCTGGTCGTACGCCTCGAGGAGCAACACGCGCAGATCGCGCAGCTCCGCGACCTCAGCCTCGAGGTCTTCCACGTACCGCGGGTCGTCCGGGTTCGCGGGGCGTCGAGGGTCGCGCGTGATCTGCATCCGGCGTCGCGGCGAGACGAGATCGGATCGGCCGGAGCCGGCGTCGAACCCGCGCGCGCCGTCGACGCCCTCGCCGTGCCTCGCGCGCTTCGCGTCGATCATCAGATCCTCCTTCTCGCGCTCGAACCGCTCGTACTCCTCCTTGAACTTGATCTCCAGATCCTGCAGCAGGTGCGTGCGCTCTTCGAGGTCCATCTTGGTCGTCTCGAGCTGCGCGGCGAGCTTATCGCGTTCGCGTCGCAAGCCGTCGGCGGCGGCTTCGACGTCCGCCTCTCGCCCTCGCCACGCCTGCGCGGCGTCGTCGAGCTTCACGATCGTCTCGCTCATCTCCACGCACTCAGCCATGAGGTCCTCGATCCGCATGTTCATCCTATCGTTCTCGTCCGCGAGGAGCTTGTTCTCCTTCTGGTACCGCGCGACGTCTTGGTTCCTCTGTTGGAGGCGCGAGCCCGCGAGGCTGTCGTCCTTCGCGGCGCGAACGTTTTTCTGTCTCTCCGCGGCGATCTGCTCCACGAGCTCCTTCACGTCGTCCTCCGCGTGCTTCGCCTTTTGGAGCGCCACCTCCGTCTTGGACTTCTCGTCTCGCACGTCGCGCTTCGCGCGGTCGAGCTGCTCTTGCGTCACCGCGAGCTCGTCGCGTTGTTCCGCGAGGCGTCGCTCCGCTTGCTCGGCGCGAATCTTCAGCTCCTCGTTCTCCGCCTCGAGACGCGGGTCGGAGCGGCCGCCGCGCTGCTCCATCACCTCCATCTGCTCGTCCATCATGTCGAGCTCCTCGTCCTTCTTCGCGACCGCGGCTTGGAGGTCCTGTTGGAGGAGGGAGGGGGAGGTGGGGGGGGTGGGGGGAGATGAGAATATTGCTCGATCGATCCGAGAGGGATGGATCTTGAACCGAGCGAGGAAAGAATGCGAAAAACTGGGAGCGTCCGACGCGCCTCCGCGCGCATCGCCTGGTACTCGCTCGAGAGCTGCAGGATGCTCGCGAGCTTGGCGAGGTTCACCGCCGCGTTCGCGGCCTCGACGCCCGTCTGCGGCTCGATCTTCGCTTCCTCCAGGCGTCGCGCCAAGTTATCCAGCGCGTTTAAATCCCTGGGCGAGACGTCCGTGCCGTTGGTGAACGGCGTCGCGTCGAAGTCGAGGACGGAGTCCCACGACACCCTCGCGGTCTTCGCCACGAACGTGTACGGCGGCGCGTCCACCGTCGACGCCATGACGTCCGAGGGGGGTCACTTCCACGGAGAACAGGCGGCGACGGCGCGCGCGATCCCGCGTCGCGCGACAACGACCGGGGTTGCTTTTTCTCTCTCTCTCGGCGACGAACGCAATCGAGGGCGATGGACCCGCGGTCGTCTCCTCCGCGCTCGTCACTCGCGCGCGCGATTCACGGGAACCGAGTCCCGAGTCGCGTCTCGCCGGCGTGTCCGCGCGCGATACGGTGCCTGACCGCGCGTGCGTTCGCCGCGGATGCGCCGAGGCAGTGGCCGTCGCGCGCGCCGCGAGCCTCCGGTCTTCGCTTCCGCTTGACCGTTGAGTCTCGTCGCGACGCTCGCCGGGGATTCAAACTGAATCATCGCCTCCGGCGCTTCGGCCGTCGGTCAGTCGGGAGCAGTGCGGGTCAGGTTGATCGGCGGGATCGATCGGGACGCTGGTTTGAAAAAAACTAGTTTAGTTTCAAACCGAGGCGATGAAACGGCGCTGTAGCGCGTAGAAGGGTTTATCCATCGAGCGTCGACGTGTCCGTCGCGCGCCCGACACTACTGTCGCACTCGTCTCGACGCCGACAGCGCGCGCCTCGGCGACGCGCGACGACGACTTCGATGGCCGCCGCCGCGTCCGCGAGCGCGGGCGTCTCCGCGCTCTCCTCGCGGCGCCGCGTCGCGCGAGGCGCGACGTCCACTCGCCGCGCGGCGTCGGCGGCGTCGTCGTCGTCGTCGACGACGACGACGCGTCGATGCCGCACGACGACGCGTCGCGGTCTCGTCGTCGCCGACGCCGACGCCGACGCCGACGCGTCGTCGTCCGGGAAGAAGAAGGTGGTGTTCGTCGGCGGCACCGGGCGCGTGGGCTCCTCCGCGGCCGCCGCGCTCCTCGCGTCGGACCCGTCGCTCGAGATCGTCCTCGCCGGACGCGACCGCGCGTCGTTCGACGCCGCGACGACGCGCCGCCCGTCGCTGTCGTCGTCGTCGTCGTTCGTCGCGGTCGACGTCGCCGATCCCGCGTCGCTCGCCGCCGCCATCGCGAACGCGTCGCTCGTCGTGCACAGCGCGGGGCCGTTCCAGGGCGGCGGCGACGGCGGCGCGGTACTCCGCGCCGCGATCGACGCGAAGGTGCGTTCTATACACTGGTCCCCATACGACCGCGTCGGCGTGGTGAACGCCGATCCTTAAGGACTTTCGCCGGCGTCTCTCTCCGCCCACCCCTCGCTTTCAATCCCCGCCCTCGATGCCTTTCAACTCCATCTGACGCCTTTGAACTCCACTCCGACATCGCTTTGTATGGAACGACCCTAAGGTGCCGTACCTGGACGTGTGCGACGACGCGTCGTACGCGACGAGAGCCAAGTCGACTCACGCCGAAGCGATCGCCGCGGGAGTGCCGTGCGTCGTCACCGGCGGCATCTACCCGGGCGTGTCGAACCTCATGGCGCGCGATATGATCGACGCGAACGTCGCGGCGAGCGCGGAGGGCGAGGACGTGGCCGTGGAGTACGTCCTGTACTCGTACTTTTGCGCCGGCAGCGGCGGCGTCGGCGACACCATCCTCGCGACGTCGTACATGCTCTGCGGCGAGGACGTGCAATGTTGGGAGGGGGACGAAGAGGTCGTGACGCGCCCGGCGACGCAGCGCAAGGTGGTCGACTTCGGGAAGAAGTGCGGCAAGCGCGAGGTGTTCTTGTATAACCTCCCGGAGGTCAAGTCCGCGAGGGAGGTGTTCGGCGCGGAGACCGTGAAGGCGCGGTTCGGGACGTCGCCCGGGATCTGGAACCTCGCGATGACGACGATGGCGTCCGTCGTTCCGAAAGAGACGCTGCTGAATAAGGACACCGCGCGCGCGCTCGCGGGCCTGAGCGCGCCGCTCGTGCGGGCCGTGGACGCGATCGTCGGCGAGCGGACCGCGATGCGCGTGGACGTCAAGTTGAAAAACGGGAAGCTCGCGGGCGGGGTGTTTAATCATCCGTCGCTGAGCGTCGCGGTCGGGAACTCGACCGCGGCGTTCGCGGCGGCGATGCTGCGCGGGGAGACGAAACCGGGGGTGTGGTACCCGGAGGAGGAGGGCGCGATCGCGGACCGCGACGCGCTGTTCGCGCAGGCGTCCGAGGGGTGCGATAACTTCGTGTTGAACAAGGCGGCGTGGATGTTGGAGAGCAAGCCGATCAACTTAGGGTTCGGGATGTACCTCGAGGTGTGACGTGACGATGGCGGGACTGCTGCGACGACTGCTTCGTTTACTTTACGACGCGGGGCGGCGAGCGAGAGAGAGATGGCGTGATGACTACTGTAACCGAGACGCTCTCGTTCAGTTCGTGACACTCCGCCGCTAAAAAAACCTGACGCGACGCGATTCTTCCCTCGTTCCTTCCCGCCGTCGCTACTTTCCGCTCATCGCGAGGCACGCGACGGACACGACCGCGCCGAGCTGCAGCGAATCGTCCGAGCCGTCGATCAGCGCCTTATCCGCCTCCGCGGCGGCCAAGCAAATCCGCGCCTTGACGCCGTCCGAGCAGTTCTCCGAGTTGGTCACCGCGTCCGCGAATTGCGTCAAGATTTGCAACCCGGGAAACCCGTCCCTCAGCATCACGTCCAACTTCCCGATCGCGCGATCGAACGCGTTCTTCCCGCACAGGTCTAGGAGCTCCGCGACGTCGTCCTCCGCGATCGCGCCCGCGACCGCGATGATGTCCTCCCCGGTGAGCTCCTTCGCGCCGAAGAGCCGCGCGGAGGACTGGAGCAGCGTGATCGCCTTTCGCATGTCGCCGCCCGAGTGCTTCGCCGCGGCGTCGTAGACGCCCTCGCCCAGGGTCAACCCTTCTCTTTCCGCGATGTGTTTCAAGCGATCGGACATCACCTCCGACCCTAGCGGCTTGAACCGGAACTTCGCGCACCTCGACGCGATCGGCTCGATGATCCGCGAGACGTAGTTGCACAGGATGAAAAACCGCGTCACCTTGGAGTGCGTCTCCATCGTGCGTCTGAGCGCCGACTGCGCGTCCGTCGTCATCGAGTCCGCCTCGTCCAGGATGAGGATCTTGTACGGCGGGCACGGGTACCCGGGAACGGCCTGGCCGACCGCGGTGGACGCGAACCCTTTGATCTTGTTCCGAACCACGGAGATGCCGCGCTCGTCCGACGCGTTGAGCTCCAGCACGCGCGATTTGAACAGGTCCGGGCCGTACAGCTGTCGGCAGATCGCGAGCGCGCACGTCGTCTTGCCCGTCCCCGGGGGGCCGTAGAAGAGCATGTGCGGCATGTTCGCGGTCTCCAGGGCTTTTTGGAGCGTCCGGACGACCTCTTCTTGGTGCGAGACGTCGCCGATCTTCCTCGGGCGGCTGCGCGGTATTGGGGGAGGGGGGGAGGGTCAGTCGTCGTCGTTTTCGTCGTCGTCGCGACGCGGTGGAAGCGCGCGAAAGAGATCTATCTTCGATGGACGCGCGACGACGGAGGGCGGGTCGCGCGGGGGACCGCGGTCGACGCGAGCGCGTTGGCGCGCGTCACGCACTATTTCTCCACCCAAGGGACGCTGCTGCTGGACGCCATCGTGCCGTGTCGCTCTCGAGCGGCGTCGGCGCGTCGCGATCTGTGAGGGTAGGCACACTGCACGCGTCGTTCAAAAAATCTCACACTTCCATTTTTTTCTTGGCACACCAAAACAGCTCAAAACATTAAAAAACATCCGCACCGTCCCTCTCGCCGCCACTCCCCCTCGTCTCGTCCTCCGCCGCGATGCCGCGCGCGCGACGATGCCTGCTCACGACGTGCGGCCTCCCCGGCGCGGGGAAGTCCACGCTCGTGGACGAGCTCGTGGAGTACCTCCGCGCGGAGAGAGACGCGGGACGGAGCGAGGTCGACGTGACCGTCGTGCGGTTCGACGACATCGAGCGCGAGTTGATGAAGTCGCGCGTCGACGACGGCGACGGCGACGGCGACGGCGACGGCGACGGCGACGGCGCGGCCGCGACGACGACGACCGCGTACGACCCGAACGTGTGGCGCGCCGCGCGCATGGAAGCGTTCGACCAGATCGACGCGCTGCTCAGCGCGCCGGATGACGACGAGCAGGAGCGCGACGCGGCGTCCGCGTCGTCGTCGACGTCGCGGCACCTCGTCGTCGCGGACGATAACTTTTACTACGCGTCGATGCGTCACCGCGCGCACCAGCTCGCGCGCCGGCACCGCGCCGCGCACGTCATCCTCCACGTGGAGTGCGACCTCGTCGTCGCGCTGCGGCGGAACGCGTCGCGCTCGGGCGTCGCGCACGTCCCGAAGGACGCGGTGCGAAGGATGGCGATGGCGATGGAGCCGCCGGACGGCGACAAGCGCGCGTTCGAACGCGACGCCGTCGCGACGTGGGCCGGCGGCGTCGCCGCGGTCGACGCGTCGAACCCCGCGGCGGCGGTCGCGTCGACGAGCGGCGGCGATGCCGCGGGCGGCGAGTGGGCGAGGAAGCTGAGAAACGACAGCTGGACGCACAAGGACGCGATCGGGAAGACGGCGTGGGCGCGCGTCGACGCGAGGTGGCGCGACGCCGCGCCCGAGCCGGATCCCGATCCCGCCGCGACGGAGGAGGCGCGCGCGGCGCGCGCCGCGGAGGGCCGCGCGGCGAACGCCGCGAGCACCGTGCACGCGCTGGACGCGCGCACGCGGCGCGCGCTCTCGGACGCGCTGGCGTCGCGCGAGCTGTCGTCGCTGGACGGGAAGCAGCGCGGGGAGTTTAGGCGCGTTCTGTCTGTGACACTGGTCCCCATACGACCGCGTCGGCGCGGTGAACGCCGATCCTTAAGGACTTTTCCCGTCGTCTCTCTCCGCCCACCCCTCGCTTTCAATGCTCGCCGTCGGCGCCTTTCAACTTCAACTGACGCCTTTGAACTCCACCCCGACATTCGCTCGTATGGACCCTCGACCCTCAGCACGGCGCTCAACGCGTTGCGTCGGGAGGCTGTGGACGCGGCGAGGCGCGCGGAGCGAGCGGCGGTGAAGGACGACGACGACGACGGTCTGAGGGTGGCGCACGCGACGATGGCCGCGGAGGCATGGTTTCAGGACGCGTGCGACGGCGCGCGGAGGGCCGCGGCGGAGAGCCGCGCGTCGGAAGAGACTAGCGGGCGGAAATGAGACGTCGCGTTTTTTGTACACAAACCAGACGTAATCTGAGCCCGCGTCATCACAACCATGCCGCGCTCGCCGACGAAGGGCGCCCGTCGCGCGTACGAGTCCATGGCGTCTCGCGTCATGCGACTGCCGGTGCGCGCTTCCTCCCTCCCGCGTCCGTCCGATCGCTCCTCGCGCGCGTCGTCTTCCGTCCTCCCGTCGCGTCGTCCGTCCGTCGTCCGTCGCCTCATCGCGTCCGCTCGCCTTCCTCCTCCTCCTCCTCCCGATCGACGCAGGTCAACCGCGTCGCGCCGCTCGCGCTGTGCCTCGCGCTGTGCGTCTACCTCCTCCTCGGCGGCGGCTCCGCGTCCTCCGGCACCTCCGGCGCTCGCGGCGGTAACGGCGGCGCGTTCTCGCTCGCCACCTCCGACGGCCGCCCGTTCCCCGGGCACGTCCTCGTGACCGGCGGCGCGGGATTCATCGGCAGCCACGCGACGATGAGGTGCGTTCTGTACACTGGTCCCCATACGACCGCGTCCGCGTGGTGAACGCCGATCCTTAAGGACTTTTCCCGGCGTGTCTCTCCGCCCACCCCTCGCGTTCAATACCCGCCCTCGACGCCTTTCAACTCCACCTGACGCCTTTGAACTCCACCCCGACGTCGCTTTGTATGGAACGACCCTGAGACTCCTCGAGCTCGGGCACGCGGTGACGATCGTCGACAACTACAGCCGCGGCAACCGCGGCGCGGTGCGCGCGCTGCAGAAGCTCGCGCCGCCGAGGAAGCTGCGGGTCGTGGAGGCGGACATCGGGATTCCGGAGGAGCTCGAGCGCGCGTTCGATCCGCGGTATCCGATCGACGTCGTGATGCACTTCGCCGCGATCGCGTTCGTCGGCGAGGCGATGGAGAAACCTCTGCTGTACTACCACAACGTCACGAGCAACACGGTGGGGGTGTTGGAGGCGATGAAACGCCATAAGGTCAAGCGTTTAGTTTACTCCTCCACGTGCGCGACGTACGGGAACCCGGACGTCATGCCCATTACGGAGAAGACGCCCACGGCGCCGATAAACGCGTACGGGCGAAGCAAGCTGTACTCCGAAAACGCGGTGCGAGACCACGCGAAGTCGGACCCGGGGTTCGACGCGGCGATTCTGCGATACTTCAACGTCTTCGGCGCGGACCCGAGAGGGCGCCTGGGCGAGTACCCGCCGCCGTCGCTGATGCATCACGGACGCATCAGCACCGCGTGTTTCGACGCCGCGCTGGGCAACCGAGACGAGCTCGTCGTGACCGGGACGGAGCACCCCACGGACGACGGGACGTGCGTCCGGGATTACGTCCACGTCACCGACCTCATCGACGCGCACGTCGCGGTCATGCGCGGGTTGAAGAATCCGCCCGCGTTGTATAACGTCGGGACCGGGAAAGGCGTGAGCGTCAAGGAGTTCGTGCGCGCGTGTAAAAAAGTCACCGGCGGCGGGTTCGCGATTCGAGAGGTGAAGAAGGCGAGGCCGGGGGACCACGCGGTGGCGTACGCGGACCCGTCGCTGATACAGAAAGAGCTCGGGTGGAAGGCTCGGTACGTGGACTTAGAGGAGAGCTTAGGGCACGCGTGGGCGTGGAGACTCGCGCACAAGAGCGGGTATTAGAAGGCGTAGTCAAGTAGCAATTGATGAGTGCAGCAGTTCGTCTCATCAGCGCGGGGCGCCCGAGCAGCGCGAGGCGCGCGATCTCGTCTGGAATACTCTCGCACACTGCTGCTCTGCCGCGCCGCACTTCAGGTCGCGCCACGCGCTCTGACGCCGCACGTCGCCGTCATGGACGACGCCAGCCTCGAGAAGGCGCTTCTCTTGGAGGTACGCCTCGCGCGCGCGCTCGTTCGCCGTCCGTCGCGGCGTCCGCGCCGCCGCCGCCGCGGCGCGACGCGACGCGAAAAAACCCGATCGTTCGCGGACGCGTCTCAAAACCCCAAGCCGGCGTCCATCCAACCGACGCGCTCCGTGACCTCCCCCTCACTCCTCCTCCTCGCTCACCCAAACGCGCCAGGTATCCAAGGGCGACGTCCAGTCCGACGCGTTCGCGTCCACCGCGGGCGTCGACCACAAGAAGATCGTCGGCCTGATCAAGTCGCTCCAGGCGAGCGAGCTCGTGACCTCCATCGCGACCGATCACGCCGAGCTCGTCCTCTCGCCCGAGGCGATCGCTTACCTCGAGCGAGGCACCCCGGAGGCGCAGGCGTACGCCGCGATCCCCGCGGAGGGATGCACGCTCGCGGAGTTCAAGGCCAAGGTGGACGCGGCCGTCGGCGACGTCGGGTTCAAGCAAGCGATGCAGTGCCGATGGGTGGGGATGGTCAAGGCGGAGAAGGGCGCGGAGCCGAGGGTGGAGCGGAAGGCGGCGGCGGTGGAGGACGTCGCGCGCGAGCACCTCGCCGCGGTCCACGAGAAGGGCGCGGCGTGCGGCGTCCCGCAGAAGGAGCTCGACGTTCTGATCAAGAAGCGCAAGCTCGTGAGGCTGGACGCGTGGAAGACGTACGTCATCTCCAAGGGCGCGGCGTTCGCGTTGGAGCGGAAAAAGGCGCACGCGGATCTGACGCACGAGATGATCATGAGCGGGTCTTGGAGGGACGCGGACTTCAAGGCGTACAACCTCGTCCCCGGCGCGGGCGCGCCGCCGAACGGCGGACACGTCCACCCGCTGCTGAAGGTCAGGCAGCAGTTCCGCGAGACGTTTCTGCAGCTCGGGTTCGCGGAGATGCCGACGAACAACTTCGTCGAGTCCGGGTTTTGGAATTTCGACACGCTGATCCAGCCGCAGATGCACCCGGCGCGCGACGCGCACGACACGTTCTTCATGAAAACCCCCGCCGCCGCTAACCGCGCGCCGGAGGACTACGTCGAGAGAGTGCGGACGATGCACGAGACGGGCGGGCACGGGAGCATCGGGCACCAGTACGCGTGGAAACGCGAGGAGGCGGATAAGAACATTCTTCGCACGCACACGACGGCGGTGAGCGCGCGGTGCCTTCACAAGCTCGCGCGGGACGGGTTCAAGCCCGCGAAGTACTTCTCCATCGACCGCGTGTTCAGGAACGAGGCTGTGGATCGGACGCACCTCGCGGAGTTCCACCAGGTGGAGGGCGTCATCTGCGACGTGGGCCTCACGCTGGGCGACCTCATCGGCGTGTTGTATCAGGCGCGTTCTATACACTGGTTCCCATACGACCGCGTTGGCGCGGTGAACGCCGATCCTTAAGGACTTTTCCCGGCGCATCTCTCCGCCCAGGGTCCCTCGCTTTCAATCCCCGCCCTCGACGCCTTTCAACGTCAACTGACGCCTTTGAACTCCACCCCGACGTCACTTCGTATGGAACGACCCTCAGTTTTTCGCGCGGCTGGGGATGACTGAGCTGCGGTTCAAGCCCGCGTTTAACCCGTACACGGAACCCTCCATGGAGATCTTCGCGTACCACCCGATGCTGAAGAAGTGGGTCGAGGTCGGGAACAGCGGGATGTTCCGCCCGGAGATGATGCTCCCGATGGGGATGCCCCCCGACGTGAACGTCATCGCGTGGGGGCTGTCGTTGGAGCGACCGACGATGATCATGTACGGCATCGACAACATTCGAGACTTGTTCGGGTCGAAGATGCAGATATCGAGCGTGAAGAACAACCCGGTGTGTCGGTTAGGGCTGATCGAGCAGGAGGAGACGGTGAAGGCGACGCAGTGAGGCGAGCGGCGATAGCGGCGATAGAAGAAGGGTTTGAATGCGAGCATCACACCGAAACGAGCCAGCCTCTCGTCGATCTTTAATCTTCCTCCTCTCTTCCTTTCTCTTCACCCGCGGGCGGCTCGCGTCACATGTCGTTGGCCTTCTTCCGGAGCGCCTCGAGCTCGGACTCGATCGCGTCCGAGACGGGCCTCCCCTCCGGCAGCGCCCCCCCTTTCTTCTCGCCGTCGCCGAGCATCTTCGATTTGAGCGCCGCGAGATCGTCGTCCACGCCGCCGCCCTCCAAGGCTTTGAACTTGTCCTCGAGGTCGTTGGACGCCGTGAGCATCCCGACCGCCTCCGCCTCCGCCTCCATCCCCATCACCTTCTCCTCCATCTTCTCGAACGCGCTCAGCGCGGAAGACGTGCTCACGCCCGAGACGAGGTCCTGCACCGCCTTGTTCGTCTTCGCGCTCGCCGCGCGCGCCTTGAGCGTGTCCTTCTTGCTCTTGGCCTCCGCCATCTTGCTCTCTAAGAATCGCGTGTTCGAGATGAGCTTCTCGACAGCCTTCTCCTGCTCCGCGAGGTTCGCCTTCATCGAGTCCGCGTTCTCTTGGTACGACTTCTTCCTCGACAGCGCCTCGCGCGCGAGCTCCTCGTCGCCCTTGCTCATCGCGAGCTCGGCGCGGCGGTACCAGTCGTCCGCGGTCGCCTGCGCTTGCTTGTACTTGTTCTCGAGCTGCTTCTGCGACGCGATCACCTGCGCGGACGCCTGGCGCATCTTCACGAGGTCCTCCTGCATCTCGATGACGGTCTGATCCAAGATCTTCTCCGGGTCCTCCGCCGCGGAGACGAGCGAGTTGGCGTACGAGCCGATGACGCGGCCGAGGCGGTTGAACAGGTTCGCGCTGACGACGAGACGCGCGGCGCGATCTTTGCGCGAGAGGCGCGCGGAGGCCCCGGCAGACGTCACCCGAAGCGCCGCGACGGGCTTCGCGCCGGACGCGAACGTGGACCGCGCGGAGGCGATCTTCGTCGGCGCGCCGAATTTCGGCGCGAGCGCGGCGGTCGCGGTCGTGGCGAGCATGGCGGGGTCGATGCGGCGTGCGCGGCGCGTCGCAGAGTGCGCGGCGCGCCGAGAGCGAGAGAGGAGATAATGCTGCCAAGGTGGCACAACCAGAACCAGAGGCCAGAAGCATCCCGCCGCCCGGGTCGTTTCAAAGGGGCTCTGAAACCGGAACTCGCTCGATTTAGACGAGGGCACCGGTCGACGCGATCATCAACGACAGACTTTTTGGGTCGATCGACGGCGACGGCCGCGCCGCGGGTCGCGACAGATCTCGCGCGCGCCGCGGCGTCGGGACGCGAGCGTCGCGCGTCGTCGTCGTCGTCGCGAGCGGAGCGACGCGGACGCGGCGACGCGCGCGAAGATGGCGTCCTCGCGAGCGATGCGGCGCGCGCAGGGCGACGCGCTCGCGGCCGCGGCGCACGTCGCGTTCGGAGGCGGCGGCGAGTCCGAGGAATCGAGCGAGGACGACGACGACGACCTGCCGGCGCGCGCGCCGCGCAACGCGTTCGCGCTCCTCGGCGGCGGCGACGACGACGAGGAGGAGGTGGAAGACGCCGAAGAAGACGAAGAAGACGCGGAGGCAGAGGAGGTGCGTCGTCGTCGCGATGGACGCGCGCCGCGCGCCTCGCGACACGTCCGCCTCCCGTCGCGCGTGGGCACCCGACGTCGCGAACAGAACGCGATCTGATCCTCATCCGTATCCGTCCGCCTCTCTCTCCCTCACTCGTCGCAGGCGCCGAAGCCCGCGGAACCATCGCCGCCGCCGTCTTCGAAGAAAAAGAAAAAGAAGAAAACCAAGAAGAAGAAAGACGAAGACGAAGACGAAGACGGAGACGGAGACGGCGTCGACGAAGTCACCGCCGCGCTCAGAGAGCTCGGGGAGGAGATGCCGACGGCGACGCGAGACGCCGCCGCCGCCGCCGCCGCCGGAGACTTCGTCGAAGACCCGCTGATGTCCGTCGACGTTCGAAGGCTCAAGGCGGAGGATGAGCTGAAGAGCATCTTCGGCGCGAGGGTGATGCGCGCGGTCGAGGTCGAGGGCGGCGGCGGCGGCGGCGGCGGAGGAGGAGGAGGAGGCGGGGGCAGGAGGGGGCGGCAGCCGCGAGGAAGAGGCGCCGCCGCCGCGCCCTTCTCCTCGCGCGCGAAGTCCACGCTCGTGACCCCGAGACCCACGTGGCCGCCGTTCCACCGCGCGTCCGGGCTCGCCATGGAGAGCGTCGGGTACGACAAACGCGACGGCGCGCAGAGGTTCGAGTACGTCCGCGACGACGACGCGATCGCCGCGGCGGCGGCGTATCGCCGCGCGGCGGCGACGCACGATCCGAATCAACTGATCGCTCTTCTGCATCGCTACCCGTGGCACGTCGACGCGCTGCTCGCGCTGTCGGACGTGTACGCGTACGCGGGTCAGGGCGCGGAGAGCGCGGAGACGCTCGAGAAGTGCCTGTTCGCGCTGGAAGGGGGCTGGCATCCGCATTTCGCCGCGGCGGCGGCGGCGGGGCGCGCGCGGATGTCGGGCGCGGCGGATCTCGAATACGAGGACGAGGACGAGCCGACGCCGAACCCCAACGCGCCGTTCTTCGCGGCGCTGTTTAAGCACGCGCAGGGGCTGACGCGCAGGGGGTGTCATCGCGCGGCGTTGGAGTGCTCGAAGCTCGCGCTGCGTCTGGACGAGAGCGACCCGCGGGGTTTCTTGTGTTGCGTCGATTACTTCGCGCTTCGATGCGGCGAAGAGGACTGGCTTTTGGACTTCGCGAACGAGTTCAAGCCGAACGCGTCGCTGTGCACGCTCCCCGGGGTGGCGTTCTCGGTCGCGCTCGCGAGGCTCGGGGGCGGGATCCCGGGGCGCCGCGCGGAGAAGGCCCGCGGCAGCGGCGGCGGCGCGAAAGGAGGCGGCGGCGGCGGCGGCGGAAAAGGAGGCAGAGGTGCGAGCAAGCTGGCGGAGGCGGAGCGTCGCGACGCCGACGACGCGCTGCTGCGCGCGCTGCTGCTTCACCCCGCCGCGCTTCCCGCGCTGACGGACCGCATCGACGCGTCCGCGACGACCTCGGACGCGCGGTGGGTGAAGGCGCTGACGCATCCGTTCTTTTTGGACGCGCGAACGGAGGTTCGGAGCCGGTCGTTGGAGCACCTGTACGACTTGTTCGCGGAGCGGCATCATCTGCTTTGGAAGCCGGACGAGGCGTTGAGGTGGCTGTTATCCGGCGCGCTGCGAGCGATCGACGCGGCGGATGATATGAAACGGCCGATCATCGACGGTTTATGCCCTCTCGATTTCGCGTCGCTGCGAGACGAGACGTTCCCGGCGTCGGACGCGAACGCCTTTTCGCATCTCTCCGCGGATGACTTTTCCGACGCGGTGAAGCGTCAGATGCCGGAGGGAGACGAGAACCCTTTCATGATGCCTCGACCCGGCGTGGGACCCGGCCCCGGCGGCGTTCCCATGGAACCAAACGATGTGCGTGGCATCTTAGACGGCATCCAACTCGATGACGTGGAGCGGGCGGTCGCCGCCGCGGGCGGACGCGCGGCGTTCGTGGAACGGCTCGGCGGCGAGGACGCGCTCGGAGAGTATTTCCGAGCTCGCGAAGCCGCGAACCGAGGCGACGACGGACCGGACCCGTTCGGACGCGTCGTGGACTTTTTCCGGACGATGCTGAACCCGACGGCGGTCGGTAACGAGGGCGGGAGGCTCGAGGCGCAGATGCGCGGCGAGAACGCCGCGGACGAGGCGGCGGAGGCGAACGACGCGCGGCGCGACCCCGACGCGGAAGACGCGTAGCTCGAAGAGGAGAGAAGACGGGACAGAACCGCGGGGACGAACGATCTCTCTCGCGTTCGATGAAACGAAATATCCTAGCACGCCGACGAGCGACGACTCGCCGCGACTCGCCACCACCGACCGCCTCACGCGTCTTCCTCGCCGTCTTCCGCCGCCGCCGCGCGCATCGCCGCGACGCGTTTCCTGTCCTGATGCCCGCGGAAGCTGCACTGCAGCTTCGTCGCCGCCTCGTTTTCCTCCGCGTCGACGACGGCGCCGAGCGCGCCCGCGACGAGACCACTTCCCGCAGCCCTGATCGCGGCGTCCGCCCGCGCCGCTCTCCCGCGATGCACCGCCTGAATCTTGATCGCCGCCGCGGTCTCCTCCTCCGTGCCCTCCAGGATCGCCGCCGCGGTCGCTTCCTCGTCCTCCAGCTCCTTGGCGCGTTTCAGATCCATTCGCGTCTTGTGTCCGCGGTACGACGCCTGAACGATCGCCGCCGCCGCGTTCTCCTCCGCGTCCGTCTGAAAGATCGAGTCCATCGCGCCGGAGACGAGCCCGGCGGTCGCCGCCCTCGCCGCGGTGTCTCGCCTCGCGGCTCTCCCGCGGTGCGCAGCCTGGATCTTCACCGCGGCGGCTTCTTCCTCCTCCGCGAGTCGTCGCGCGTTTTCCACCCGCATCGCGCCGACGCTTCGACGCGCGGCGTGTCCGCGGTAGTTGGCCTGCACGATGCTCGCGGCGCGGACGTTCTCCTCGCTCGGCTCGAACGCCGCGAACTCGTTCTCCGTCGCGTCCGTGTGCGACCGCACGACGACCGCGGGGGAGGACGCGCCTCGCGTCGCCTGGCGATCGAATTTCGCGTTTTTCCTGGATTGATACCCGCGGAAGCGCGACTGCACCTTGGTCGCCGCGCGATTGAGCTCCGTCTGCTCGATGTCGTCGATCGCCTCCGCGACGTCCTCCGCGTCCTCCGCGCGCGCCGGCCGCGTGTCCGACGTCCCGAAGAAGTCGTCCCCTTCCTCGTCCTCGGGGTTCAGAACCAACTCGTTCGCGGCGTACGACTGCGACCTGTTCGGGTTGTTCGCCCTGAGCCAATCGGCGAGCCACTGCGTCGCCTCGAGCTTGTGCGCGCTCGGGCGCTCCTTGCACAGCGCGGCGAGCCCCTTCACGAGCGTCGGCGTGAGGTGCTCCTTGATGAACTCCCTCGCCTCCGCGCCCTCCGGGACGGGATCTAACGTCATGTTCGGGAAGAAAAACTTGAGCTCTCGCGACGCGGAGACGAGCGAGTCCGATCCGTGCGTCGCGTTCTTCGTGCCGTCCGTGCCGTAGAGCGCCCTGAGCGACTTCGGCTTCTCCTCGCGCGCGACGAGCGTGTTCGTCGGCCCCATGAGCGCGCGCCAGTCCGCGATCGCGTTCGTCTTCGCGAGGCACACCGCGACGATCGGGCCGGAGGACATGAAGGAGACCAGATTAGGGAAGAACGGCTTGCCTCGGTGCTCCGCGTAGAATTCCCCGGCGCGCTCGCGCGAGAGCGTCGTGCGCGCCGCCTTGACGACGATGAACCCGGCGTCCTCCGCGGCGCGGAGGATCAGCTCCGCGTTCCCGGCGCCCACGGCGTCGGGTTTGATCATCGCGTACGTCTTCTCGAGCGTCGTCCACGCGGCCGCCATGATGGATGGAATCGACGGGTCCTAAGCGATAGCGACTGACTCCCTTTTTTAGACTACTACCGTAGCGGAAGACTCGCGCTCTTCCTCGGTCTCCGCGCGCGCTCCTCGAGCGGCGTGCCGCGCGCGCTCGCGTGCGCCGTCTCGAGGTCGTCGACGACGACGTAGACGCTCTGGACGCGCGACGAGCACCCGCGACGACGACGACGACGGTGCGGACGACGACGCGCGTTTGACTATGACGAATGACCCACCGCGTGCGAAGAGACCCGAATAAAAGGAAGGCTCGATTTCGGCTGCGCGGTCGATCAGATTGGCGCGTCGATCGACCGCGCTGATCGGTCGGCCCGGGGTCGTTGAAACACGTGAGCCCGAAGACACGTGCGACGGGTGAGGGTGAAAATATCGGTGGAGGCGCTGCGCTGGCGGCGATCTGCTTCTTTTCCCCGTTGCGATTTCGGTGCGAGGCGTCGCCGCGCGACGCGCACTTCCCAAGGCGCCGTCCACGGCCGCCGCTTCTCAAAGGTGCGCCCACGCGCGCGCGATTTCGACGCCGTTCGCATCGATCGCGACGACGCCGCGGTTCTTCCCCGATCAATCGACCCTCAACCCCGCGCGATCGCGTCGCCCCCCCCGATCTCACCCATCCGAAACACGGGGGCCGTCCGAAACCTTTCCAGGGTTGGTAAGGTAAGGCTCGTCACCGCGCCGCCGCGCTCGCCGCGCGACGATGGCGTGCTCTCTGTCCGCGCCCGCGCGCATCGGGAGCGCGCGTCGGTCGATGACGCCATCGTCGACCCGCCGCGCGCTCTCGTCCGCGCGCGCCGTCGTCGTCCGCCGCCACCGCGCGGGCGCGGCGACGACGACGAAGACGACGATCCGCGCCGCGTTCGACGAGACCGCGGAGAGGGATTCCTGGGACGAGTCCACGCGCTCGGTGCACTTCGCCGAACGCCGCGGCCGCGCGAAGATGTCCGACACGCTCGCGACCCCGGTCTGTCTGAACTCCACGTACTGGTTCAAAGACACCGAGGAGCTCATCGCGTACCAGGAGAACAAGTACCAGTCGTACGAGTACGGTCGGTACGGCAACCCGACGACGAAGACGTGCGAGGAAAAGATTCGGATGCTCGAGGGCGGGGAGGACTGCCTCCTGAGCTCGTCCGGGATGAACGCCGCGATCTGCATGCTCCTCGCGCTCGTGCCCGCGAACGGCCACATCGTCACGACGACGGACTGCTACCGACGCACGAGGCAGTTCGTGCAGACGTTCATGCCGAAGATGGGGATCACGTGCACGGTGCTAGACCCGAGCGATTACGACGGCTTGGAGAAGGCGCTGAACGAGAACGACTGCTCGCTGTACTTCTCCGAGTCGCCCACGAACCCATACTTGCGGTGCGTGGACGTGGAGCGCATCTCGAAGCTGTGCAAGCCGAAGAACTGCATCGTGTGCGTCGACGGCACGTTCGCGACGCCGGTGAACAGCAAGGCGCTGTCGCGCGGCGCCGACCTCGTGATTCACAGCGCGTCCAAGTACCTCGGCGGGCACAACGACGTCCTCGCCGGGTGCATCGTCGGCGACAAAGAGCTCGTCGCGAAGTGCCGACAGTTCCACAACATCATGGGCGGCGTCTTGGACCCGCACGCGGCGTACTTGGTCCTTCGCGGGATGAAGACGTTGTCGTTGCGCGTCGCGCGGCACAACGACAACGCGATGCGCCTGGCGACGCTCCTCGAGGCGCATCCGAAGATCGACGTCGTGCACTACCCCGGGCTGCCGTCGCACCCGGATCACGAGGTCGCGAAGAGATACATGTCCGGCTTCGGCGGCGTCGTCTCCTTCGAAGTGAAGGGCGATCTGTGGGCGACCGCGAAGTTCATCGACGCGTGCAACTTGCCGTACATCGCGCCGTCGCTCGGCGGCGTCGAGTCGCTCATCGAGCAGCCGACGATCGTGAGCTACTGGGATTACGGCGCGGAGCAGAGAGCGGAGCTCGGGATTAAAGATAACCTGGTTCGATACGCGTGCGGGATCGAGGATTTCGAGGACATCGCGTCGGACGTGCTTCAGGCGCTGGAGCAGATCGATTAACTCCCGTCCGCGGACGTCTGGGGCGCGGACGCCGCCGTCGAGTCCGCGGCGGCGCGTTTGGTATGTGATGGTGATGGTATGTGTGCGTGTTGTGTCGTGTTTTTTGTGTGCCGAAGAGAGAACGATCGAGAGCCGGCGCCGCTCTCGGGTCGCGCGGGAGGGTTAAGACCCTCCGCGCGGTTCTCGCTCGCCCCCCCGCCCCGCGACGGCGTTCTTTTGACGAAGACGTCGTCGCGATGGGACCTCGAGGCTTTTTCACAGCTTGGGGTGTGTGCTTCGATGAAGCAAACTGTTACAGCTGTTCGCCGCCGGGTCGCGCATCGGCGCGACTTCGGCGGCGTTCGGGCAAAGTGGGCCTTTCCTCCCCTCCGCCCTGTGGCCGACGTCGCGTCGCGGCGTCGGTCGCAGCAAAGATGAGATTTTAGGAACCAGCTGTTCGTCGCTCGGCGCGGGAAGAAAAAAACTTTTTTCCTCTCGCCGAGCCGCGATCGGGCACAGTGGGTTTTTCCTCCCCTCCGCCCTGTCCGTCTCGGTGGACCGCGCGCGCGTCGTGTCATCACGGCCGCGCGCGGGAATCCGACGCGGGCAGCTTCGAAGCGAATAACAGATTCTTTCTTAGTTTTTAATAAAGGTATTCATACAGTACTTCCGGAAGTCCTTCCGATGAAGAGGAGCGAACGCGACGGGACGAGCCTTCGAGAGTCGCGACGCGCGCGCTCGTGTTCTGAAAAATGGTATTAACATTCCAAAGATATCTCTTTCTTCCGTCGTTCGAGCGCGAAGCCGCTCGAGAGACGTCCAAAAAAACGAAATATTCGCCGCCCATCCCCGTCGATCGCCGCGTCTCCGACGACGAGCGTCAGATCGACTCGCTCGTCCGTCGGCGAGACTCGCCTCGCTCGCTTCACGCGGCGACCGCCTCCTCCTCCTCCACCTCCTTCTCCACCCACCGGCCGTGATCTTTGATGAGCTGAATGAGCTCGTCGCACGCGGTGTCGTTGTCGATCCCCCGCTTCACGACCTCCTTGCCGACGTACAGGTCGATCTTCCCGGGCGCTCCGCCGACGTATCCAAAATCCGCGTCCGCCATCTCCCCCGGACCGTTCACGATGCACCCCATCACCGCGATCGCGACGCCAGGCAAATGCCCCGTGCGCTCCGAGATCGCGGCGGTGACCTCCTGGAGATCGAACAGCGTCCTGCCGCAGGACGGGCACGATACGTACTCCGTCTTCGTGTTCCTCATGCGCGACCCCTGAAGTAAGCCGAACGACGTCGTGCGGAGATACGACAGCGGCACCCCCGGGTGCTCGACGACGACGCCGTCGCCGAGGCCGTCGCACAGCAAGCCGCCCGCCTGCGCGCCGGACTCGATCACGACGGTGTCCTTCTCCGCGCTCGCGTCGAACTGCATATTGTGAATCACCGGCACGGCGGAGCCGGCGCGGTGCATCCACTCGAACACGCGGCGGGACGCGTGGAGGCGCGAAACCCCGGGCGCGGTGGCGATCAGGCACATCACCGGGTCCGTCGCGAGCGCCGCGACGATCTCCTCCTCCGACTCGGTGCCGTCGATCACGACGGCGACGCGCGCGGCGCAGTCGGGGATCGTCGCCGTCGCCGCGTCCTTCGCGGCGACCATCGCGATCGCGTTCGCGACCGGGGTCTTCGCGAGCGCGTCGACGGGCGCGAGGACGCCGACGCCGATCTCCTGAAGGCGGCGGATCGAGCGGTTCGCCTTCTCGTCGTCGGGCTTGGGAATCTCGCGGAGGATGATCGAGTCCGACGTCGCGATGTCGCGCAGGGGCATCCCGACCGCGAGCTTCGCCCCGAGGTCGCGGTAGAACGGGTCCTCGGACGCGAGCATCTCGGGCGTGACCGCGCTGAGGACGGAGCCGTCGCGGTGGAGGACGTTGCGCAGGTCGATCGCGTCGTCCTCCTTTTGAACGGGAAGCTGGCTCTCGCGGCGGCCGAACGATTTGAAGTCGCGCGCCGTCTCGTCAAACTTCTCGACGCCAATCATCTTCTCGCACGCGTCCATGCCGAGATCGCGCAGGCGCGTGCACGGCTCCATCTCGAGGTGCGACGCCTCGGTGAGGGACACGCGGATGGTGTCGCCGAGTCCGTCGAGGAGGAGCGCGCCGATGCCGATGGAGGACTTCATCCGCCCGTCCTCGCCCTCGCCCGCCTCCGTCACGCCGAGGTGAAGCGGGTAGTCCCACCCGAGCTTCCACATCTCGTGCGCGAGGAGGCGGTACGCCTGGACCATCACGAGCGGGTTCGACGCCTTCATGGAGAAGACGAAGTTGTGGTAGTCGTGCTTGCGGCAGATGCGCGCGAACTCGAACGCGGACTCGACCATCCCCGCCGGGGTGTCGCCGTATCGCGACAGCGTCCTCGCGGAGAGAGACCCGTGGTTGGTGCCGATCCGCATCGCGACGCCGCGCTCCTTGCACTTCAGCACGAGCGGCGTGAACGTCTCCTCGATCATCTCGAGCTCCTCGTTGTACTCCTCGTCCGTCTCGTACAGCTTCTCCTCGAACGTCTTGCGACCGTCCGCGAAGTTGCCCGGGTTGACGCGAATCTTATCGAAGCACTCCGCGACCATCATCGCGACTTTCGGCGCGAAGTGGATGTCCGCGATGAGCGGGGTCGTGTACCCCTTCGCCATGAGCGTTTCCTTGATCACCTTGCACGCCTTGGCCTCTTGCATGCCCTGGACGGTGATGCGAACCATCTCCGCGCCCGCGTCGGCGCACTTGATGACCTGCGCGTTTTTTTTTCATTTTTATTTCGATCCACGGGTCGGGGGGAGGGTGGACGGATCGCGTCAGTCTCGACGTCTGCCGCGCGGATCGCGGCGGGGAGGCACGGCGCGCTTGCGAGAAGCCTTCGACGCGTCGAACGCCGCGCGCGCGCGCGTCGAGCGACGCGCGCGTCGCGTCGAGCGACGCGCCCGGGCGAGAGGATAAGGGAGCGAAATAAATGTTGAAAACGAAGAAGCGACGAGATCGCGGGGAGGGGGGCTCGGCTCTCACCTCCGCGACGGTGGCCTCGACGTCGCGCGTGTCCGACGTCGTCATCGTCTGGCGGACGATCGGGTGATCGCTGCCGAGCTTGACGTTGCCGATGGTGACCGTCCTGCGATTGCGAACGCGCGCGGGGGAGGGAGGGAGGGAGCGGGAGGTCAGGATCTTGATCATCAACATCTCTCTCTTCTCGCCGCGCGGCGATTTGAGATCGTTCGGCTCGCTCGATCGCTCGAGCGCGCGGGCGGGCGTCGGGTCGGCGCGCGCGCGCGCACCTCGTCTTGCGACGCGTGGTCTGGTAGTGCGCGTTGCAGTAGAGCCCCTCCGGGAGGAGGTCGTTGTGGTCCACCGCGGCGGCGACCTCCACGATCTTCGGTCCCGCCTTCTCCGCGCTCGCCGCGCGCGTGACGGTGGAGACCTGAGCCTTCTTCGCGTGCTTCCGCCCCGCGAACGCTCTCGCGCTCGGGAGGATGGTCGTCGCGCGCATCGCGCTGCCGAGAGCGGCCATGACGTGCGTTCGGTGCGAGACGAACGGTTGCGGCGCGCGCGGGAGGGCGTCGCCGATTGTGCGCGCGTCCGCGCCGCGCCGCGTCCGTCGCGGGTCGGATATTTCCTCACCCCACCCGCCGCGATCTCGTCCCGGTGGAGGCTGAGAACGTCCTAATCCTCCGTCTCTGGGTCTGTGATTGGCCCCCGGCGTCGACCGCGTCGACGGTCTATTAACTCGTGAACCGACCCGCTCGCGCCGATCGCGGCAGCCGTCTTTTTTCTTTGGTTTTGGTTTTGGTTTTTTCCCCCGCGTCTCTCTTCCTTCGTCCACGACGCGCGGTCGCGGCCACTCCGCGCGCGCGCTCGCACGCACGAACTCACGAAAAGATGTCCACGTTAGTCATCGGCGCCCCCGCGCGTCTCGTCGTCCGCGCCGCGGTGCACCCGAAGCACAAGGCCACGAAGGGGCACACGAAGAACCGCCCGAAGAAGGTGCGCGTCGTCGTCGTCGCGACTCGATCCTCCGCTCGCCAAAACCCTTAACCCTGAGAAGGACACACGGGGGCGGAATCGTCGCGCCGCGGTCGCGCGGCCGCGGGCCTCGGCGCGATCGCGCGCGCGCGACGCGTCGCGACGACGCGAGATCGTCCACCTCGCGAGTCCCTCCGACGTCCGTCGCGCGTTCTCTTCCTCCCCGCGGCCGTTCGCGCCGTCGCCGTCGCGCGCGTCGCTGACGTCTCCCACCCCCCATCGTCCATCCGCGGTCTCGTCCCGTCCGGCAGCACCGCCCGTCCGACAAGGTTCGCAAGGCGGTCGTGTACCCCGAGGTGAAGCCCGAGGACGTTCCTCCGCTCATGACCGTTCTCTCCAAGAAGTAACGATCCGGACGACGGTCGGGGGGGGGCGACGGCGGCGCGCGGCGGAGGCGGACTTCGGGCTCACCGTCGCAGATTTTATCCACTCTCGGCATGCAGACGACGGCGGCGGCGGCGGAGAGCGGGACGAAGACGACGGCGAAGCGGTGACGCGCGAGCCGCGCGACGACGATCGCGCATTCATTCTTACGGTAGCATGTAGATGTTTAATAACGCACAGAAACAGTGCGTTCATTCTGACTCGTCGTCGTTCCCGTCGCGTTCCCGTCGCGGCGGCGGCGGCGGCACCGCTGCATTGCCAAACAGTCTGGTGTCAAACGTCACTCTCAGCGCGCCCTACTCGCAGTGTCGAATCGATGTTACGCGTCGACCGATCCGATCCATTGCGTCGCGCGCGTCGTCGCGGAATCGGCCCGAGGGCGATGCGCCGAGGGTTGCTCGGCGCGTTGCGCGCGGCGTCGCGCTCCGCCGCGGCGTCGTGCTCGGGATCATCGCGCGAGCCGTCGGCGTCGTCGTTCGCCGCGCGCGTCGTGCGGCGTCCGATCCCACCCGATCGACGCGGCGTCGCGTCGACCGCCGCGGCGCTCGCGGACGACCGCGGCGGGCAGCGCGGCGGGGGCAGAGGAGGCGGGAGAGGAGGCGGCGGCGGCGGGGTCGATCGACGCGCTAACAATAAAGGCGGCGGAAGAGGAGAGAGAGGAGGAGAGAGAGGAGGGGGAGGAGGGGGAGGAGCGGGAGGGCGGGCGCGATCGACGACGAACCGCGGCGGCGAAAAGGGCGACGACGACGACGACGCCGGCGGCGGGGGCGGATGGAAACACGCGCAGCGAGGGAGCCAGAAGACGGCGAAGAAACACGACGGCCCGAAAGCGCTGCACGGACGCTTCGCCGCGCTCGCGGGCGCGAACGCGAGCGCGGGCGCGAGCGGCCACGGCGAGACGGACGGCGGACGAGCGGGGGGGGCCGACGCGAGATCGAAAACGTCGTCGTCGTCCGACGGGCAGACTCCGCCGAAGAAGAAGAAGAAGAAGAAGAAGAAGCCGGAGGCGCCGAGAGCGACGGTCGTCAAGACGGGCGTGACGATCGCCGAGCTCGCGAGGCTGCTGAAGTGCTCCCCGCGGAGGATCGAGACGGTGCTTATCGACCTCGGGGAACCCCCCGCGAGTCTCGAGGAAACCGTCTCCGCCGACGTCATCGAACTCTGCGCCGTCGAGCTCGGCGTCGACGTGGAAGTCGTCGACGACGAATCACCGTCCGCCACGTCGGCGGACGGCACCCCGCTCGAGCTCCCCAGACGCGCGGTCGTCGCGGTCATGGGCCACGTCGACCACGGGAAGACGACGCTGTTGGACAGGCTGCGGAGCGCCAACGTCGCCGACGGCGAAGCCGGAGGCATCACGCAGGCGCGTTCTATCTCATACTGGTCCCCATACGACCGCGTCGGCGTGGTGAACGCCGTTCCTTAAGTACTTTTCCCGGCGCGTCTCTCCGCCCATCCCTCGCTTTCAATCCCGACACACCTCGACGCCTTTCAACTCCGCTTCTGACGCCTTTGAACTCCACCCCGACATTCAAAACGCTCGTACGGAACGACCGTCAGCATCTCGGCGCGTTCGTCGTGAAGTGCGGCGGCGGCGGCGAGCTCACGTTCCTCGACACCCCGGGCCACGCGGCGTTCAGCGCGATGCGGCGGCGCGGTGCGAGCGTGACGGACGTCGCCGTGCTCGTGTGCGCCGCGGACGACGGCGTGATGCCGCAGACGAGGGAGGCGGCGGCGCACATTCTCGCGGCGAATTGTAAGTTCGTCGTCGCGATAACGAAATGCGACCGCGACGGCGCGGACCCGTCGCGCGTCCGCGACGAGCTTCACGCGATGGGGATCGCGTTGGAGTCGCACGGCGGCGACGTGCAGTGCGTCGAGGTGAGCGCGATGACTGGGCAGGGCATGGAGGACCTCGAGATGGCGTTGTTTTTGGAGGCGGAGGTGCGACTGCTCCCCGTACGACCCCGTTCGCGCGTCGCGCGTCCTTTCTTACGGACTTCTCTTCTTTCGCGCGCGGGGAACCTCACTTTTTGACACGTGTGAATTCAATCCACCAATCCCGTGTACGCGTTACTGACGCGTGGATTCCCTCGACCAATCGCATCGTCGCAGAGCCTCAACTTGACCGCGCGACGCGACTGCGAGGGCGTCGGCGTCATCCTCGAAGCGCGGCTGGATAAAGGCCACGGCGCGGTCGTGACCGGGCTCTTACGGCGCGGCGTCGTCGGTATCGGCGAGCACGTCGTCGCGGGGACGCATTACGGCCGCGTTCGACGGCTCATCGGCGACGGCGGCGTCGACGTCGAGTCGTGCGGTCCGTCGGAGCCGTTCGAGATCACGGGCTTGCGCGGCGTCCCGAGCGCGGGCGACTCCGTGATGGTCGTCGCCACGGAAGAGCGCGCGCGAAGAGTCGCGACCGCGCGCGCGGATCGCATAGAAACGGCTCGCCTCGCGGCGTTATCCGTCGGCGACGACAGGCAGTTTGTCCTCGAGCACACGCACGCGCCGCTCGGCGAACGCGGCAAGGCGAACATAAAAAAGATGGCCAACAAGAGCAAGCTGCGCAGAGAGGGCGTGAAAGCGCGGACGATGTACGAGGCGGACAAGGATGGCACGCTCGGGGATCTGCTCGACCTCGAGATCGACGACGACGCGGACGCGCGAGCCGCGGAGAGCGTGAACAGCGACCTGTGCGCCATCGTCAAGGCGGACGTCCAGGGCACCGCCGAGGCGGTGCGAGATTCTCTGCTCGGGCTGGGGACGTCCTCCGTCGGCGTCAAGGTGGTCTACGTCGGCGTCGGCGCGGTCAGCGAGAGCGACGTCGCGCTCGCGGCCGCGATCGGCGGGCCCATCCTCGCGTTCAACGTCCAGGTCTCGAACGTCGTCGAAAAAGCGGCGAAAGACGCCGGCGTCGTCATCGTGAACCGGAAAGTCATCTACCACCTCCTCGACGCCGTCGGCGAGCTCTTGGGCGGCTTAGGCGCGTTCTCCTCACGCTGGTTCCCGTACGACCGCGTTCGCGTGCTGAACGCCGTTTCTCGAGGACTTTATCTCCCGGCGCATCTCTCCGCCCAGGGTCCCACGGTTTCAATCCCGACACACCGCGACGCCTTTCAGCTCCGCTTCTGACGCCTTTCGACTCCACCCCGCCGTCGCTTCGCGCGGAACAACGCCCCTCAGCCCCCGAGCGCCTGCACGAGGAGGTCTTGGGCGAGGCGGAGGTGCGGCAAGTCTTCGACCTGAGCGGTCGACGAGGGAACAAGGCGAACATGGTCGCCGGGTGCGTGGTGAACAGCGGGAGCTTCAGCGCGGTTGAAAAGTTTCGGCTCTTGCGAGACGGCGAGCCCGTGCACGAGGGACTGCTCGACGCGCAGTCCATCCGTCGGCACCGCCTGGAGGTGACGACCGTCGGCAAGGGCACCGAATGCGGCGTGAGGTGCGTTCTATACACTAGTCCCCATACGACCGCGTTGGCGTGGTGAACGCCGATCCTTAAGGACTTTTCCCGGCGTGTCTCTCCGCCCATCCCTCGCTTTCAATCCCCGCCATCGACGCCTTTCAACTCCATCTGACGCCTTTCAACTCCACCCCGCCATCGCTTTGAATGGACCCTCGACCCTCAGCCTCGCGGATCACGCGGACGTCAAGCCCGGGGACGTCATTCAGTGCGTGCACTTCGTGAAGAGGAAGGCGGTGGTGGAGAAGGTGGCCACCGGCGGCGCGAGGGTCGTCGAGCGACAGCCGCGGTAGGCGAGGCGGGCGGGCGGGCGTCGGGGTTCGGGGGTTCGGGACGGACGGGCGGCGCGGGGCGGGGGGACGTCGCGGGGACGTACGTCGCGGTTATGAAAACATAACACCTTACACGGAGACGTTACTCCTCTATCACGTCGCGCGCCTCCCGCGATCCGATCCGATTTGATTCCATCACTCGATTCCATTCCATTCCATTCCATTCCATTCGCGCCGCCGGCCGCCTACAAGGGACACTTCTCCTCGAAGGCGGCTTGCTCTCTGCGGCATTTGTCGAAGGTGTTGGATCGGTAATCCATGCACTCCGCGTACGCGTTCAACTCCTTCGGGCACTTGCTCTTCAGATCCCCGAGCAGGTCCGCCATGCACGCGGTCACCGCGTTGCCCTCCCGCAGGCACGCCTCCGGGTTTTTGTCGTTCTTCTTGCACGCCAGGTACGCCGCGCTGCGACTCGCGCACTTCGACTGGAGGTGCTTGTGCACGCTGAAGAGGACGCTCGACGTCGCGCTCGTCTCCTCGCCCGTCGCCGCCGCGGACATCGTCGCGCGTCTTCTCTTCTCCGCTCTCGCTTCTTCTCCGCGCGTCTGCGGGTGGGGAGGCGACGTGGGAGGGGGGAGGGAGTGGGGTGAGCGAGACGATCGAGCGCGCGGAAGTAAAGTCCTTAAGGATCGGCGTTCACCACGCGAACGCGGTCGTATGGGGACCAGTGTGGCGATCGATCGATCGATCGTTCGTTCGATCGCGCGGAGGAGGAGGGATCGATCGCGAAGAGTCGAGGGTGGACGAGCTAGGGTTGGCGACCGCCGCGAGCGACGTCGCCGCGACGAACGCGACGGCGCGCGGGACTCGAGGCAAGCGGCGCGCACCTCCTCACGCGAGCGCGTCGACAGCTCCCCGCTCGCGGCTCCCTGTCCGAGCGCGCGGTGGTCTGCGCGCGACGCGCGAGACGCGCGCGGCCCGTCGTCATCCTCCACCGGCGACGGAGCGACCGACCTCAGCTTGCCAGCTTGCCGCTGGCCGGGGGCGACCGTTTGATGCCCGCGCGCGGCGAACGAACGGCGTCACTCCGCGACGCCCGCGCGAACCGACCGATGGGCGGCGCGCCCTCGCGCCCGCGTCGGGGCTTCCCCGACGTCCCGAACGTCCTCCCCCCCGGGGTCGCGCTGTCGCGCGCGCGCGACCTCGACGTCGTCGTCCTCCGCGCGGGCGACGTCCCGCTGCGCCTCGCGGTCGTGACGAATCTGGAAGACGTCGTGGTCGACGACGCGGCGTCGACGTCCGAGGGCGTCGAGCACGCGCTCGTCGCCGGGTCCGACGCGACGCTCTCCGACCGCGAATCGCGCGTCGTCGTCGACGTCCTGCGCGGGCGCGACGTCGCGCTCCGGTCGCCGGCCGCGCGCGACGCGTGCCTCGCGGTGACGCCGCTCGCGGCGGACGGGTCGCACGCGAGGCGCTCGCCGTTCCGATTCGTGCGCGCGTCCGACGCCGCGCGAGGAGGAGGAGGAGGAGGGCCGCCGAAGGCGGCGACGTGGACGTGGACGACGCGCGAGGCGAAGCCGCCGGCAAAGGAGAACGACGCGGACGGCGAAGGCGCCGCGGAGGAGAAGAAGGAGAACGACGCGAACGGCGAGAAGACGTCGACGACGCCGTCGTCAGACGTAGACGCTTCGCCGGCGCCGGCGACGACGACGAAGCTCGTCTGCGTGTTTCGCAACGCCGCGTTCCCGGCCGTCGAGCTCACCGCGGTCGGGCCGACGGACCTGAGCACGCCGCACGCCGCGCGCATCTGGACCGCGTTCCTGGACGACGAGCTGGAGGCGCGGAGGGACCTCAAGGCGACGCTCGAGGCGCTCGCGCGCGACGCCGACGCCGCGCGCGCGACGTTCGGGTGCGTTCTATAGAATCACGCGCTCGTCCCCGCGCGACCGCGTCCGCGCGGTGCACGCCGTTCCTCGAGGACTTTCGCCCCCGGCGCGCTTTTTTTTTCTCTCCGCTCACTCAGTACCCCTCGCCGCTTTCAATCCCGACGCGCCTCGACGCCGTTCAACTCCACCCGACGCACCCCTCGACTCCGCCCCGCCGTCGCCGCCGCGCGGAACTCACCGCCCTCGACCCTCGGCCCTCAGCGCCGAACTCGCGGAGATCACCAACGCCGAGCGTCTCAACGCGGAGGCGCGCGCCGCGCGCCGCGCGAAGCGCCTCGAGGAGGACCACGCCCGCGCCGCGCGCGAGGCGATCCGCGAGGCGGAGCGCGCGAAGCGCGCGGCGGAGGAGGACGCCGCGCGCCGACGCCGCGACGACGCGCGCGCCCGCGACGACGCGGCGTTCTTCGGCGGACTCACCGGCGTCGTCGACGCGCTCCGCGACGAGGTGCGCGGCAACGCGAACGCGTCGGGGCCCGGCGAGGCGTACCGCGGCGTCGACGGCGTCGAGGCGCTCGTGTCCGAGGCGTGGGACCTGTCCGTGGAGGCGTTCCGGGAGGAATTACGGCGGCGCAAGATTTCGCACGACGCGTTGACGAGGCTGACGGGCGCCATAGAGGTGCGCACCGCGTGCACGTTTGTTTTTCGCCCGCCCGCCGCTCGGTTTCGACGTTCGATCGCGCGGGTCAGTCCCTTTCGACTGACCGATGATGCGCGCGCTCACGCACGGAACGGCCCTCAGGAGAGCGCGTACCGGCACTTCGTCGCCGCGGGGATGAAACGGTACCAACTGAACCACGAGAACCAGACAGACTCCGACGACGACGACGACGACGACGACGACGAGGCGGCGGCGGCGGGTCTCGGAGAGAACGCCACTGGGGAGAACGACGACGCCGCGAGCGTCGCGAGCCGCGGGAGCGGGCGGAGCGTCGCGTCGAGCGTCCGAGCGCGGCGGCGAATGGCGGACGTCCGCGCGGAGCGAAAGGTGCGTTCTATACACTGGTCCCCATACGACCGCGTTGGCGTGGTGAACGCCGATCCTTAAGGACTTTCCCCGGCGCATCTCTCCGCCCAACCCTCACTTTCAATCCCCGCCATCGACGCCTTTCAACTCCATCTGACGCCTTTGAACTCCACCCCGACATTCGCTCGTATGGAACGACCCTAAGGCGAAGCTCAAGGCGAGGATGCGCGCTGGGAAGACGGTCGTGGACTTCAAGAGGCACAAGGTGGGGAGCTTGCGGGACCAGCTGGAGAGGTGCGGCGTGGACGCGGACCCGCTCGTGCGCCTCGTGCATAAGCTCGCGCGCGAGTGGAAGCGCGTCGGCGGCGGCGGCGGCGGCGGCGGGTCCGGGTCCGGGTCCGGGTCCGGGTCCGCGCCGACGTCGCCGCCGATGACGCCGTCGAAGCTCGCGTTCCAGGCCACTCTCGCGCGAGAGAAGCTCAGCGGCGAGCTCGAGCGATGGATCCGCGACGGCGGCGGGAGCGGGAGCGGGAGCGGGAGCGTCCCCGGCGGGAAGACGACGGCGGCGTCCTTCGTGGACGCGATGCCGTTGACGCGATTCCGCGCCGCGCTCGAGACGCACTCTCTCCTCGCGCGCGGCCTCGACGAGTGCGTCGAAGCGCTCGTGGACGCGGAGTGGGAGGGCGGCGACGACGGGTTCGTGGACAGGAAGGGCGAGCGCGCGGAAGGGTTGGGGACGCTCCCGGTGAGCGCGTTTAAGGCGCGGCTGGCGAGGCACGGGTTGGAGGGGTCTCTGGAGGAGCTGAGGCTTTGCGCGGACGCGTTGTGCGCGGCGCTGCGCCCGGCGGACGAGCGCGAGGGCGCGCTGCTGAGGCGGCGGACCTCGGGCGTCGCGGTCGCGCCGGTGAAGGACACGATCGAGAGCGCGTTCGAGTAGCAGCCGGCGGCGGAGAGACGAGACGTCGCGATGGACGACGACAAACTCTTTTTTCCTATTAGGGCTGTTCTATACAAGCGAAAGTCGGGGTGGAGTTCAAAGGCGTCAGGTGGAGTTGAAAGGCGTCGAAGGCGGGGATTGAAAGCGAGGGGTGGGCGGAGAGATACGACGGGCAAAGTCCTTAAGGATCGGCGTTCACCACGCCGACGCGGTCGTATGGGGACCAGTGTATAGGACGCACCTTATCTCGTAGTAAGGACGCCGTCACTGCTTCGCCTCTCCCCCCCCCCCTCCCTTGCGCGCGTCATCGTCACTAACGGTTCATGGTCGCCATGTCCAGTAGGTCCATGTCCCCCGCCTCCGTCTCCTGCACCACCTCCTTCACCTCCGGGACGTAATGCCGCAGCATGTTCTCGATCCCCGACTTGAGCGTCACGCTCGACGACGGGCATCCGTCGCACGCGCCGCGCATCTGCACGGTGACCACCCCCGTGCTCTCGTCCCACCCCTTGTACACGATGTCCCCGCCGTCCTCCGCGACCGCGGGGCGGATGCGCGTCTCCAGGAGCTCTTTGATCATCGCGACGATCTCGTCGTCGTCGTCCGCGATCGCGGTCCCCGCCGCGACGAGCTCGGCGTCGTCTGAGGGCCATTCCATACAAAAATAGTTCATCGATCAGTTGAAAGGGGAAGCGATCAAACGTTGAAACCGGGCGATGGGTGAAAAACGTTTGTATAGAACGCACCTGAGACGAGCGGGTCGCCGGACGCGTAGTGATCCATCACCGCGGCGAATACCTCGGGCTTTAACACGCCCCACTCGTGCGTCTCGTTCTTCGTGACCGTGACGTAGTCCGCGCCGAAGAAGACGGAGACGACGCCGTCGATGGCGAAGAGCTTCTTCGCGAGCGGCGACGCCATCGCCTCGCGCGGCGTCGCGAAGTTCAACGGCGGCGCGTCCGGGTTGACGGGCTTGCCGGGCATGAACATGAGCGACGCCGGGTTGGGCGTCGTCTGCGTCTGGATGAAGATGCCTCTCCTGCCGCCACTCCAGCCCGCGCGGAGGAGCGACGGCGGCGTCGACGGCGCGCGCGCCGCCGCGGCGGCGGACGCGCCCCCCCGCGCGCCCGCGCCGCTCGGGAGGCGCCACGTCGCGAGGGGGCGACGCGCCGCGCCGGACCCGCGAGCGGGGGCGCCGCGCGCGGCCACGGCCGCGGCCGCGAGTTTATGAAGCGCGCGTCGGAGCATCGTGATGACGCGTTCGACGGCGACGAGAGTTTCGGCGTGACGTGCCGCGCGCGAGATCAGAGTGGCGGGCGCGGAGGAAGACGGCAACCTTCCATTTCGCATTCTTTTCGTCACTTTTTTTTTCCTGAAAGCACTCGTCGCGATCTTCGCCGCCGCAGAACGCCGCGCGCGCCCCGCGCATGGACGCGTGGCTGATATCGTTGAGCGAACGTCTCGGCGTGGAATCCACCGCGGGCCCCTTCGGCGTCCTCCTCGGCGTCCTCGCGACCGCGTACTACCTCTCGCTCCCTCGCGACGACGCGCCGGCGCGCGCGAGACGACCGCGGCGCGTCGTTCTCGAGGAGGACGAGGACGCTCCGGCGCCGCCCGACGACGACGAGCCGCGAGGCCGCGAGGCGCGTCGTAAGAAGCGCCGGTGAGGGAGCGCGCGCGCCATGAGCCACCTGGACGACCTCGTCGGCCCCAGAGCGACGGCGCCGCCGCCGCCGCCGCCCGACGACGACGACATGGAGCCCGCGTTCATCGACGAGGACGCGCCGGACACGGAGGTCGTCGCCGACCTCGACGAGGAGGACGACGCGCCGATGTCGGAATCGGACGACGAAACCGACGACGCGGCGGCGGCGGCGGCCGGAGGCGGCGACGCGATCGTGGACGACCGCGACGCCGCCGGCGACGCGATCGTCCCGCCCTCGGACGACGCGATCGCGGTCGTGTCGTCGCACGCGAAGCCCGTGTTCGCGGTCGCGTGGTCGCCGACGGCGCCGGACGTCTTCGCGACGGGCGGCGGCGACGATCTCGCCAAGTTGCATCGTCTCTCCGCCGCCGCCGACGGCGTCTCCGCGACCGTCTCCGCGAGCGTGGACCTCCGCGGGCACGCCGACACGATATCCGACCTCGCGTTCAACCACGACGGCGCGCTGCTCGCGTCCGGCGGCCTCGACGGCCGCGCGATGATCTGGAACGCGGCCACGGGCGCGGCGGTGCGAACGCTCGAAGGCCCCGGCGGCGGCTTGGAATGGGTCCGGTGGCACCCGAAGGGGAACGTCCTCCTCGCCGGGAGCGAGGACTACACCGCGTGGATGTGGAACGCGGACGACGGCGCCGCGATGCAGATCTTCGCCGGGCACTCGAACACGGTGCTGTGCGGCGGGTTCTCGCCCGACGGGAAGACCGTCGTCACCGGGTCGCACGACGGCTCGCTCAGAGTCTGGGCGCCGAGGACGGGGGAGTGCAAGACGCAATTTTTCGGGCACCCGTACCACGACGGCCCGGTCACGTGCGTGGACTTTCATCCCACCACGGAGGGGCTGATGCTGACTGGAAGCGAGGACAACACCGCGCGGTTGATCAGCGGCGTCTCCGGGAAGGTGTTGGGGACGCTGGTGGCGCACGCGGAGACGTTGGAGTGCGTCGGACTCAGGCGCGTTCTATACACTGGTCCCCATACGACCGCGTGGGCGTGGTGAACGCCGATCCTTAAGGACTTTTGCCGGCGTCTCTCTCCGCCCAGGGTCCCTCGCTTTCAATCCCCGCCCTCGACGCCTTTCAACTCCATCTGACGCCTTTCAACTCCACCCCGACTTCGCTTTGTATGGAACGACCCTCAGCGGCGACTTTCCGTTCGCCGCCTCCGGGGCGATCGACGGGAAGCTCGTGTGCTGGGATCTGAACACGCTGCAGCCGCGGAACACGCTTCAGCACGGGGGGGCTGTCAGCGCGCTGAGATGGATCCCGGGGACCGCGTGTTTGTACAGGTGCGAACGCGCGAAGCGTCGTCGGCGTCGGCGGCGTCGTCGGCGTCGTCGGCGTCGTCGGCGTCGTCGGCGGCGGCGGCGGCGGCGGCGGCGGTCGGCGTTTTTCTTCCTTTCCCTCTTCGCTCTTCTCGTTCCGTTCCGTTCCGCTCCGCGTCCGAAGCAACGAAAGGGCCTCGCCCGGCTGCCAGTGCCGGCGCGGCGGTGGACAACAGTTTGCGACACCCGACGCGCTCGACAACACTACGGTGCATCGCGCTCATCGTGCGCGAATGAACAACCTGCGTCGGGCTACATTTTTTTCGCGTCGCGTTCGCTGCGTTCTCTTCTCTCTCCCTCCTTCGCTCGCGACCCGCCGTCCCGAACGCGTCGCCGACCTTCCTGACCTTCCCTCTCCCTCCCGCGTCCTCCTCGACGTCGCGTCGATCGATCGCAGCTCGAGCGTGGACGGCGCGGTGCGTCTGTGGGACACGCGCGTCGGGACGTGCACGGCGACGCGCCACGGCCACGCCGGGCCGGTGTTGGGATTCGCGACGTCGCCGGACGGCGCGCTCGTCGCCACCGCGTCCGACGACCGCACCTCGCGCGTGTTTAAGATGGCGTAGCCTGCGTGGTGTGATGATGAAACGCACGCGCGCGCGACGTTTCAATAATACTATCACTACTCTGTGTATCAGAACATCGCGCCGCGTGTCCGCTCCTCGTCGCGTCGCGACCACGAATATCGTGCCGATGCCGCGCGCTTCTGTCAATCGATCAGTGCTGTCGTTTCTGACGGTATTTTTCTGTTCGTCGTCGGAGGTCGCGTCGATCTCGCGTCGGCGCGCGCGCGCACACCTCACCGCACCGTCGCCGGCCGTCCAACGCGTCCAACATCGCGCCACCATGGACGACAAAGGCAACACCCTGATCAAAGCGAAACCCCGCCCCGGCGTGAAGGGCATCAACCGCGTCCTCGTCACCGGCGGCGCCGGGTTCGTGGGATCGCACCTCATCGATTTCCTCATGAAGCGCGGCGATCACGTCATGTGCCTCGACAACTTCTTCACCGGCTCCAGAGATAACATCGCGCATCACATCGGCAACCCGCGCTTCGAGGTCATCCGCCACGACGTCGTCGAGCCCATCCTCCTCGAGTGCGACCAGGTCTACCACCTCGCGTGCCCGGCGTCGCCCGTGCACTACAAGTTCAACCCCGTGAAGACGATCAAGACGAACGTCATAGGCACGCTCAACATGCTCGGCCTCGCGAAGCGCGTCAAGGCGCGCTTCCTGCTCACGTCCACCTCCGAGGTGTACGGCGACCCGCTGCAGCACCCGCAGACGGAGGAGTACTGGGGGAACGTCAACCCGATCGGCGAGCGGTCGTGCTACGACGAGGGCAAGCGGTGCGCGGAGACGTTGGCTTTCGATTACTACCGCGAGCACGGGCTCGAGATTCGCGTCGCGCGCATCTTCAACACGTACGGCCCGCGGATGGCGTTAGACGACGGACGCGTGGTGTCCAACTTTGTGAAGCAAGCGATAGAGAACACGCCGATGACAATCTACGGCGACGGCTCGCAGACGCGGTCGTTTCAGTACGTGAGCGATCTGGTCGCCGGGCTGGTCGCGCTCATGGACGGCGAGCACACGGGCCCGATCAACATCGGGAACCCCGGGGAGTTCACGATGAAGGAGCTCGCGGATAAGGTGCGCGAGGTCGTGAACCCGGACGCGACGACGGTGTTCAAGGAGAACACGAGCGACGATCCGGGACGGCGGAAGCCGGACATCTCCAAGGCGAAGAAGCTGTTGAACTGGGAGCCGAAGGTGCCGCTGATCGAGGGGTTGAAGCTGATGGAGCCGGACTTCAGAAAGCGCTTGAGCGGCGGCGACGAGCCCGCGGCGAAGAAGCAGAAGGCGTAGAGGGAGAGAGAGCGAGGGGGCGGCGCGGCGTCGTACTGTACACAACCGTTGTAGTCTCGACGATTACGATTCCTTTAAAATGATTTCGAACCGCGCGCGAAACAGACGAAGTTGGCACCCCGGCGACCCCGACGTCGCCGCCTCCGCGCGTGACCGACGGCGCGCGAGGGAGTGAAGCGAGAGCGAGAGCGAACGACCCTCCCTCCCCCCCCCCTCGCGATGCCGACGACGACGACCGCCGAGCGCGCGCGCGTCGCCTTCGCCGAGCTCGGCATCCACCTCTCGTCGTCGTGGCTCGACGCGTGCGCGACGCACCTCTCGTCGTCGGTCCCCGGCTTCGATCGCAAGTCGCCGAGGGAGAGCACGGACGAGATGTACCTCCAGTTCTTGCGCGCGGACATGAACGTCGCGGGATCGGGCGTCCTCCCGAGCTCGCTCTCGACGCTCCGCGACGGCGCGGTCGTCGAGGGGCGCGTCGTCCTTCAGATCGACGAGATCGTGAACGTCACCGCGTCGTTCAACGATCGGTACGTCGATAAGCGCGCGGGGGGCGACCGGACGCTGAAGCTGATGCTCACGGACGGGAAGCAGCGCGTCGTCGCGTGGGAGTATCGCCCGATACGCGCGCTCGGGGTGCTGACGGAGGCGGGATGCAAGGTGGCGGTGACGGACGCGGAGGTGAGAGGCGGCGAGCTGTTTCTCACGGAGGAGAGCGCGGCTATCCTCGGAGGGGGGGTGGACGCGCTGGAGGCGCGGAGAAGGCGCGCGGTGGAGGCGTGGGCGCGGCCGAACCGACCGGCCGCCGCCGGCGGCGCGCGGGTGGGGAGGGAGGAAGCCGTCAGGAGGGCGGCGGCGGGGGAAGCGGGCGCGAACGGCGCGGCGGCGGCGGCGGCGGCGGCCGCGCCGCCGCCCGCGGCGCCCGCGCGAGAGCCGCCCGCGCCGGCGCGACCTCCGGTCGCAGCCGCGCGTCCATCGCCGCCGCCGGTCGCGAGAGCGCGCGAGCCCGCGCCGATGGTCGACCTGACGAACGACCAGGAGACGATGACGCACGCGGTCGCCGCGCCGCCGCCCGCCGCCGCCGCCGCCGTCGCCGCCGCGAAGAGAAAGCGGACCGTGAAGATAGACGACACCAGCGACGACGACACGCCGGCGAAGCCGGACGCGGCGTCACCGGTCGTCGCGCGGTCGTCGCAGAGGTTGCGCCGGGCGTCGGCGTCGGCGTCGGCGTCGCATCAGCAGCAGCAGCAGCAGAGATCGAAAGAGGAGGCGGCGGCGGCGGCGGCGGCGGCGACAGCGGCGGCGCCCGCGGCGACGACGTGCAAGTCCCCGGGATGGGCGATGGGCGTCGTCAAGAGCAAACCGTTCGCGTACCTCGCCGCGATCGCCGCGCTCAGGACCGCGCGCGGGGCGAAGCCCCACGCCGCGGCGACGAAGAAGGAAAACGTCGTCTTCTACGGCTGGATGGCGAAGGTCGGGACGCTCGCGCTGCGCCGCGAAGAGGAAAGAAGTAACGCGTGGACGTTGAGCGTTAAAGCCGTTTTCGAGGACGGCACCGGCGCGGTCGTCGTCGACGTCCCGACCGCGGTCATCGCGCGGGTCACGGGCGGGGAGTTAACCCCGGACGCGTACGCGGCCGCGTCGATCGAACGCCGAAAAGCGATGGCGGCGCGCGCGCTGACGTTTTTTCACGCGTTTCATGGAAAGATATCCATGGCCGTGAGCGTCTACGACGACGATGCGCCGCCGCGCGTGAACAAGATGTTCGGGCCGGAGGACACGTGCGACGCGATGGACGTGAAGAAGCTAGGGATGCGGTACGAGAAGATGCGCGCGAAGTTTAAGGTCACCGGCGGCGGGGCGTCTCAGTGACCCGCCGCCGCGGGGACGCGGAAAGGAAAGACGTTTGTTTCGACGAATAGAACTAGAGGGTAGCACACGTACGTCGTGGTCTCGCTCACGCGTACCGAACGAATAAATAAATAACCTTACACTAAAGAATCGAAAATTAAAATCGTCTTGCCTTGCTAATAACTGATCGCTAATAAAGTATCACTGTGCTGACGTCGCGCCTCCCTCACGACAGCTGTCGACTCGCGCTCGCCGAGCTCATGTCCCCGATTCTGTATGCGCTGTTCGTCTGGACCATGACGTAGATCGTCCCGTTATCGCCGCGGCACAGCATCATGTCCAAGTCCACGTACGTCACCTCCAGGCGCGAGTACTCCCTCGTCTTCTTCGACCCGGGGAGCCCGAACAGTCCGAAAATTTTCGTCGCCTCGAACGTCAGCTCGAGATTCCTACCGTCCGGCGCGATTTCCAACGCGGCGCGATCCACCTTCACCGGCCACGTAAACTGCACCTCCGACCGACCTTCCTCTACATCGTGCGCGAAGTACACCGGCCCGCTCTGCCGCGTGATCGACAGCTTCTTGTCCATCCCCAAGAGCTGCCGCGACGTCGTGAACACCGCGGACCAACGCCCGCGCATGAACCCGCTGCGCGCGGGCGCCGTCGTCGTCGGATTGAGCGCCTGCGTGGGTGAAGCGATCGGTCAGTCGAACGTCTTACCGGTCAAACGTTGAAAGGGAAGCGCGGGTGAAGAGTGACGACGGGAAAAGTCCTCAAGGAACGGCGTGCACTACGCGAACGGGGTCGTATGGGAAGCAGTCGCAGTCTCACCTCCATCCGTCGCACAGACTCCTCGACGGCGCTGAGCTGCGCGGCGTCGCAGTCGCGGCCGATGTTCGTGGACACGACCGCGGCGAGGACGGACGCCTTCGCCGCGGCGCGCTCCGCCTCGAGCTGTCGCTCGC